CACTTTTACTTGTTCCTCGTACGTTGCCTGATCTAGCAAATAATAGTATAGTTTTTTAATCATTTTATCCTCCGACCCCAAAATTATTTTATCCAATTCTATTGGTTCTAATTTAATACCTAACTCTTTTTTGTCTTTCCGATATCTTGCCTGCAGTTGCAGGTATGCCCACCATTCTAATTCTATCCCTTCATCGTGGATGGTTTTCCTGGATTTCAATTCCCCTCTTTCATCTAAAATATTTTTATATGTTATGATCTTGTCTAATTGAGTAAATTTTGGGTGTACATATATTTCTAACGGTGAGATCCAACTAGGTACTTGGGTATAATTTGGTTGCCAAATTTTTGTCCATACATCAATAAGAGCTTGCCTAATATAGTGACTTCGAAAATATTTATGTACTTTATATTTATGATCCCATAATATGGCATGCCATCCTATTTGTAGGTCATGGCCCTCCAGACACAATAGTCTCCTATTTTTTAGTAATATCCAATCTCTTACCCATACTAATGCTGCGGCCTGGTAATATTTCTCCAAGTCTGGAAGACCAAATCCCCCCCTTTCCTTTGAGTCCTGTAGTAATTTTAATTTAATCCTTGCTCTTTTTCCTTGCCAGATGAATTTACACATCATTTTGTTCAAATTTTGAAAAAATTTCTTGTCTAATTTTATAGGTATACATTGGAACAAAAATAAAATTTTTGGCAACACATTCATTTTAATCACCGCGATTCTGCCCGTAAGAGAGAGCTGTAGGTTAGTCCAAATATCAAAGTCTTTTTGAATCTGTTCTATTAACTTATCATAGTTATCCCTTTTAAGCGTAGCGCATTTGGCAGTCAGTTGTATCCCTAAATGTCTAATTTTATTTGTAATTTGAACACCAATTCTATCAACCAATTCACTTTTCTGTATTTTAGTCATATTTTTGACAAGCATTTTAGTTTTTTCTTTATTTATTTTTAAACCTGCTATTTCCCCGTATCTATTCAATGTTTCCATCAGCCTAATCCCTGATTGTAGTGGTTCTTCAATAATAAAAACTAAATCATCTGCAAAGGCTTGTATTTTAAATGTCTCTTTCTTGATTTCTAGACCTTGGATCTGAGCAGGGGGTTGGACTAGAAGACCTCCAAGGTCCCTTCCAACTCAATTATTATTATTAAAACAAAAGAGACTGCCATAGGTATTTTTCCATGCTGGCATTGAAATTGAATTCAGCTGCAAATTCAGTTGCCTTTGTAAAAGGAAATAAGAAGGGGGCATTTTCCTCTCTCTTCATTTTGGCTCTGAGTAAACAACTGCTTTTCACCATAGGTGGCTGTAACCCAGACTCAACATTATCCTGCTCCACAGTTATGTATATTCTTTATCATGTTGCTTTTGTGCTGATTCCATTAACAAAACTCAGAGCAGCTCACAGTGGTAACATAATACACATGAATTATATTGATCATATTTAGTAAACAATAGCATAATTAAATCATAAGCACGTGAATGCACTGATGTAGTTTACATGATTTATTCTAAAAGGAAACAACAGGAAGAGGAATAGTAATATAAAATAGCTTTCTGGTTGATCAAATGCTTATTGTGAAGATCAAATTTGCTCCAGAAATTGTTTGGATTGTGTGAATGAGACGCTGCTGGAAGACTCAATCAAAGTGACTACCCACTAGTTCACAGTCCATTTACAATAAAATTATTATGTATTAACAATTGAAATAGGATTTTGTATTGTTTATTGGCAGGTTTGTTTAAAATTCTTAACACAGATGTGTTGGCTGTAAGCCAAATGTTGGAAATATACATATTTAATTTAGTGGCCCTGGGTCATTGCTTTATTTTAGCAGGAACAGTCAAATTAATACGCTCAAAATCTATGCATCCTTTTTGGATGCATGAAAAAAGTGTTTTTATTATCTCTGAAAATAATTGGAGTTTTTAAATTAAAGTTTAATTCAACTTCTGTTAAGGATGAGTAATCTGTTAAGGATTCTTTATTTAACAAGTGCTTGTAATGGTATGTGGGAAAGGCCTTGGGAAATGGGGCGAAGAGATGCTGCCTAAGGCAGCGGTCCTCAACCTTTTGGGCACCAGGGAACGGTTATGTGGAGAGAGGTTTTTCCACAGACTGGAGGGTATGTGGTTCTGTGTGCTGCCTGCATCCCACAGATGGGGCTTTGCTTGTTTGTGTGGACCAGTTGTTGGCATGCTGCAGCCCGGTACCGCTCCACGCACCAGGGGTTGGGGATCCCTGGCCTAGGGTATGGTCAGAGAAGAAACAGTGTAGCTGTATAGAACAAGATGTGCAGGAGGGACCCTGTCTTGTTTTTTGGGTGATGGCGGGAGAACCTACTTTCAGATTTGTAAAATCCTATTAACGTAACTTACAATAAAGTAGAATTAGCTTTTGCGGTCCTGTTTCCTATTTGGTCTCCCTGTAAGGTTGACAACGGCTATATTTTGGCTGCTTCTTTATTTGTGTGTGCATATGCATATATTTAGCTGCTTCTCTGACAGCCAACTGGTAACATTTTAATTTCAGGAAGCAGGCCAACTTGAAGATAACATATGGCAAAATATTGCCATAAATTTAATTGTTTCTCTTCTGTCATGAACTAGAAGAAAAACAAATTAAGAGACATAGGTTGTCAGTATATCTTATTTCCTGCTGATGCAGCCTTTTAATTGGTAAGTTATTGACCTCTGAAAAATTGAAGTACGTAATGAAATAGTGACATCTTGTAAATCAAATGGGTTGCTTAGGTAGTGAGGATTGTAATTATGGGGACATAAATATTCTTCAGCTATTCCTTTGCAAGAGCAGAGGCAAGCCACCCGAAACCACTGTATGTCATGGAATTAACTATTGAGAGGAATGACATCCTTGAATTTTGGTTGTTCTGATACTGTGCATTCTCCAAGTTATCAAAGGTAAATACTACTTTCATTTATTATTTCTTTGACATTTGTGCTTCATGCAAAAAAGAAAACATACTTGGTAGAGCTCCTATTTAAATTATATGTTTATACCAATAAAAACATCCACACTTGAAAAATATAGGCTGAGGCCCAGAATTTGAGGGAAAATTTTTATAAAATGTTTTATAGATGGCATCTGGATCCTAAAAAGCTGTCCTGTATGTACCCAAACCTGCAACCTAAATGTTGGAAATGTGGTTCCTTGGATGCAATCTATTTTCATGTTTGGTGGACTTGTAAAGTTATTAAAGCCTTCTGGATTATGATTTGGTGGAACATTCAAAAGGTTTTTAAAAGGAAGATTAAGTTTACTCCCCAACTGTTTCTTTTGGGAATTTTTGTGAATTTTAATATTAAAGAAACTATTTTAATGTTGAATTTAATAACAGCAGCAAGATTACTGCTGGGTCAATATTGGAAGAAGGATACTCTGCCTTCTTTAGAAGAATGGGTATTTAAGGTTTCTAATTTAGCAGAAATGGCTAAAATTTCTGCTTATTTAAAGGACCATTCACAAGAGGATATTTTAACATATGGAGAAGATGGATAGAATATGTTCAGAAGAAATATGGAACTACAAAGTTTCACTTATTCTATGAGTAATGATTTTGTTTATAAACTTACGTTAAAATTTGAAGAGAGTTAAGGGTTTTTATGATTTTGTTCATTGTATAATTAGTAAACTTAAATAGATTATGTTTAATATGTTTGCATAATCCTGTATTTTGCTCTGGGAAGTCGGGGGGAGGTGGGTGGGGGGAGAGGGGTGGGGGCTGGATGGGTTGAAGTTTAAGTAGTTCAGATAAAGTAGAAATAGTCTTATTGCATATAATATTAATGTTTTAATTTTGAGAGAGGAACTGCTCGGGCATTTCCCCTGGACCGCATCAAGAGGGAGAAGAAGGTGAGAAGTAAGTAGGAAGGTGGAGGTGAAGGAGGAGAGGGGGTGAGTGAAGAAAAAGAGGGAAAGAAGTAAGTTGGTTTGAGGTGGGATGCGGTTTGGGGGGAAATGGGCGGGCAAGACCGAATGTGGCGTGTATCAATTTGTTTTATTTTTTATCTGATTTGTAAGATTGTTATGTATTGTAAAATTGAAAATAAAATTTTTTACAAAGATATATAGGCTGAGTGCAGTCTTTCTTAAGCATTCCAATTTTCTCCTACGTCTTGAGTACTATTGAGAAGGGCTTTGAAGATTCTAACTTCTATCGTCAGTCCCAATGATGTTCTGCTGTTATGAGCAGAGAAAGGGACACCAAGACTGGATCCCCTACCTACAAGATCAAAATATCATTGTTCTTTCATCTTCCGCTCTATAGAATCCCATTTTAGGTTCTAAAGCAGTGGTTCTCAACCTTTCTAATGCCGCGACCCCATAATACAGTTCCCCATGTTGTGGTGACCCCCAACCACTTATACATCACCGGGTGCCAGGGGCGTGGCCAAAGAAAAGGGGGGGAAATGGCGGACAGCCTTGTTTGGCGACCCCCGTGAAATGGTCATTCGACACCAAATGGGGTCCCGACCCACAGGTTGAGAACCACTGCTCTAAAGCTTTCCATTCAGCTTCTAACGATCTTGCACATCTTAAAAGTTCATCATTAATGCACAGTAGCTAAATTGATTTCTTTTGGGTTTTCATTAAAAGAAATTCCCAAGCTTTGAGTTATTTCTGTCCCCATGATCAGGAGGTTATTCTTACCATGTGTCCAGTATAGGCACCTATGTATTTCCACAAAGTTTCTACCCCAAACTAACGCTAACGTTATTAATGTAGAAATATAGGACTGCTACAGACTGTTAGAGAGTTGGGCCTGAACAGTAATTATATAGCAATTTAAAACATAACCACTGAAAGTTTTAATAGTAATTTTCAGTAGTTATGTATTGCTCAATAATATGTAATCTGATATAATTTACATATAAGAGAAATAATGGAAGGCATACACAGGAATTCCTATTTTCCATTAATACATTCATTGTGTAAACAGAAACACAACAGGTTTTTATGTTTAATTTATTGAAAAATGAACTCAAACAATACATACAAACAGAATAGGAAATTCAGAATATATCTGGAAATTATTTTAATTATTAAATAAATTATTTCCAGGGCGATATGGAATGATATTTTATGTAATAAAGCATGCATTTGTCCATACCACTTTTTATTTTGATTGATGCATTTTATCATTTAGTTTTCTACAGTTACAGTTGTTTCTTCATGGAAAAATATAATACTGTATTATTACAAAAAAGAAAGGTAGGTTATATAAATATTGCTTTAAAAATAAACAATTCTTTTTTCATATAAAGCAACAAACATAAACAAAATTCTGGAGCAAGTGGTTATGTACAAATGGATCATCTTTTCCATGTAGGAAATGTGTTTCTATTAAACATTCAACTGATCAAGAATTTAGTCTCAGCTTTTATACAAAATTACTGTTAGCTATGCTGTTTTACTTCAGTAGTTAATGTTGCACAATTCTTTGCTGCTTTTGGAGATAATGTTATGAAAAAGCAAAGTGCTGAAGGAAGGGTCAGAGTAGGAAAAAGGGAGCAAAAAGGCTAACAGGCTTTGAATATTCTGAATCAAGCATTTCCTCTTGTTATAGTTCTCTCCCAGACTTTTCCCAGAAGAGGTTATGCCTTGAATTTGACCGAGAACCCTGCATGTAAAATCTAAGCTATTTCAGAAGGCTTGGATTTCTGCCATCAATGCCCAAACAGCTGATCAAAGAGACTGTAATATTTTGATAGTGCTTCAAGTGTAGCACTAACCAACCCACGCATGTTATTTGGGTCACGTACCCATATTTCAAAATTGTAGACTAAACTGTGATATCTTTTCAGCGAAGAGCTGAAAAAGTGGCATGCCTGTATTTATTTTGTACACATATTACTGTGAACGTCAGTGCAAAAGTGACCATGACTGTTGCCAAGACTATTAACGGTAGTTCGTTCCCACAAAACTTCAGCCCTGTTTTTCCCACAATCTTTTCCGAAAATGCTCTACTTCACTTACAGAATATAATGCTCGCGCAAAGAAATATTGCAAAGCTCTGCAAAGAATAAATCAAGAAAGCAAATATTTGTTTATATCAAGTACCCCCAATTAAAGGACACAGAGGGTTGCTTTCACCTCAAAATTTAATAGGCCACTGAACTGTGGCAGAGTGGGCAGAAGTTATAGTTGCTGATTTCTTGAGCTTGGACACAGTGCTTGCATATATTGCACATCCAAAACTGATATTCTGTGATGGGCCTTCCTGTAGCAACACATGTGGGAAGCTTTCCTTCTCCCCTAAAAAATGTAAGGAAGAAAAATAGTATCACAATATGCCAAGGTTATACAACTACATTAGTCATTCATTCAAATTTAAGATTACAAGCGCGGGTTACAAACATTTCAACAATATACAACAGATCAAACTGATTTAAAAAAAGAAACTTGCACAGCAATAGAATTATTTTTAAAATTAAAAATGCAATGTGCAGGTAAGATGAAGGCTCTCAAATGAGTATTATTTCTAGATCAATTTATATTATGAGAGGGATTCCAATTTATATATGTGACAAATATTTCCAGGAAATAATTTTTTGGGTTTAGAAAAGCTGTATCATATGCTTATCTATTGTTAAGCATTAAATAATGAACCAACAATTAATGTTAATTTTCCAAATTAGACAACGTTGAATATACATATATAGCATTTTTGATTGGATGTTTTGGGGGAAATTAGCAGGCTATATAAATGTGGGACAAAAGCTAAAATTTTGGAGGAGGAAAAAGCATCGGTTGTCTACAGAGTACACTGCAAGGATTGCCGTTGTAACTACATGGGAGAGACAGCCAAACAGATAAAAACCAACCAGAATACACGAACACAAACTGGCCGTCAAAAGGCAGGAGCAGTACTCCCAAATATGGACACATATGGTCAACAATGGGCACTCGTTTGACTTCAAGGGGGCAGAAGCCATTACCCAGGATACCTCCAAAGGAGGACGCCTATTGAAGGAGGCCTGGCTCTCGAATGCGGGTTCAGTTAACCGACATATAGAATTGCGCCCGGCATACCAGGCATTAAAAGCATATGAGGAGCAAGCGATGATGCGGATGGCGCTCACAGGGGCAGAACTGGTGAAGGCAATTATCACATGGCTAGGCAAAAAAGGGATTCGGAGGGAACAGGGCCAGTAGGGATAGATAGCATAAGACCAGAACAACGAATGGATGGATGAGATAAAAAAGGGGGGAGAGTAACAATGGAGAATTATCGATGGTGCTAGGCTCGAGCGCACAACCCAGAACGATCACGAGGGTCGGGTTAGAGACACATCAATGACGACGACGCTAGGAAGGATAGGGGCAATAAGGATGAGAGAGAGGGAATCTGGGAGGGAGTCAGCAGGCAGCTTAGCTGACCATGGACAGACGAGGTGGGGCAATAGGATGCGCATAGGGAAATCAGAAGAAATAGGGCCAGTAGGGATAGATGGTGGAAAGCTCGACGAACGTTTAGATCAATACCAACTGGGGGGGGGGAATAGGAATGGGAAGGCATCTGGCATGCCGGACCCAACCGTACGACCCAAAATATGTAGAGGGGTAGGAATGGAGGGTGTATCAGGGACAATGACACCAGGAAAGATAGGATCAGCAAAAAGGGGGGAAGGTGGAACTGAGGCAACAGGTGGTTCGGTTGAGCATGGACGCATGAAGCAGAAAGATAGGACGTGGCTGTGCACACGCAGGGCCAGGCATGCAGAAAGTTCGGAAGCAATGGAGCCCGGAGGGACGAACAGGGGGAGGTTAAAACAGCGAGTGGATCAACAGGATAAGACAGAGAAGGAGCTGCGAAGGTTGTAAATGCAAGGACTGGGTTGCAAAGTTACTTTTTCATCCCTGTCATAACTGTGAATGGTCGCTAAAGGAGGACCAACTTGTATAAAGAAAAATTCTCAACATTGTATAAGAAGGTCTTTGCAAAGGGAGAATCTTCTTTTCTCCTTCTCCCATTTTTCCCCCCCTTAATCCAACTAGACTTTGGGAACAGGCAAAATTGCAGGGTAAAAGAGAATATGTACCACGTACCATGCTTTTTTCCTGCTGAACCACTGTTTCCCACCAAACCCAGGATATTGTAATGTAATTACAAGAACACCATGCTTACTCTTCGAGAAGGCCATCCAATTCTGACTTTTTGCTATCTTTAGGATAGTGTTTTGTGAATATTTGCAGGGCAAGTTCTTCATATTGCTGCTTCTGGTCTGGACTAAGATTTTCTAAAGATTCCAGTTTAACAAAAGCTTTTGAACAGGTACCGAATGCTCTGTTAGCACATGCACAAAGAGCCAACAGGGAATAGATTTCTACTGCAGGAATAACGTCTTCGTAATCCCTCAAGTGAAGAGCTGTTAATGTAGAAAGCAATAGATTCAGAACATATCCATCTGTTAAATTAAATAAGCAGTTTTGTTACATGAGTACTGTTACGTTAATGTATTGAAATCATTGGCTGACACCCAATTGTTGTGATCCACAGTATGAAGTGGCTTAATGCACACAACAGGAAAGATCTACATACAAGAGAAGATTTATACTAAATCCCCAAACTGGAAGAAATATGTTCAATATCTGGAATACAATAGTTGACTACTTAAGTAGTCAATAATCATAAATGATTCAGGCTAAGAGTTTTAGATCTTTAGTGATTTCAGCGAGGGTTCTTTTGAGGAAAGCGTTTCCTCAGATATACAGAATATAATAGGAACATTGAAAACATTTGCTTAAGGACTGGATATGTAATGGAAAAATTGCCCCATGAATCCAAAGTGAAAAAAAAAGGCAGCATCGTACCTGTTTTCATTGCCGTATCCACATAACCTTCATACAGCTGCCTTTGGGCAAGTATGAAAAAATGGTAAGCCTCAGCTCCCCGCCAAGCGTTATCGATCAGGCGACTGTCTGTGGAAAGAACATCTTCCTCTAGCAAGCCAGCTAGGGCTGAAGTAGCCTGGGATAAAAGATGTAATCAAAGAAAATAAACAAGTGACAGCATGCCTATTATTTACATTAAGTTAGTATGCATTTCATGCATTGCAATAATGCACTTCATGATACGTAACAATGTTAAGTTGTACAGCAGTGAACTATAAACAGGAAAAGCTTTTAAAGGGAAGTAAGTCCATCTTTATTTCTTGAATTGCACGTTCATCATAAAAACCAAACATATTTAGCAATAGCACTTAGACCAGGGGTTCTCAACTTTGGCAACTTTAAGACTTGTGGACTTCAACTTGCTGGCTGAGGAATTCTGGGAGTTGAAGTCCACAAGTCTTAAAATTGCCAAGGTTGAGAACCCCTGACTTAGACTTATATATTGTTTCATACTGCTTTACAGCCCTCTCTAAGCAGTTCTACAGAGTCAGCGTATTGCCCCCAACTATCTGGGTCCTCATTTTACTGACCTCGGAAGGATGGAAGGCTGAGTCAACCTTGAGCCGGTGAGACTCGAACTGCCAAACTGCTGGTAGCTGGCAGTCAGCAGAATTAGCCTGCAGTACTGCATTCCAACCACTGAGTACCACGGCTCTTGGATAATGGTCCGATGCACAGAACTTATTCATTTCAGAAGGGGGAGGCCACATTGTATACAATCAAATATCAATAACAGGGACCAAGAAGCTGCTTTACCCAAGGTTTTCCTCCTACTAATTAGAATTTTTCTTAAAGGAAATTCTGTGATTTTCCTTTGTTCTATGGAAGACGTAAACGAAGGAAAACTGTGTGAGGAGCAGCATTGGCTTCTGAAAGATGGTGAATATGGAATAAGTGTTTTGACTGTGCATCAGTTGTCACAAGCATGCACAAAAAGGGGCAGGACATGGTCCATAATGCTGTGTCCACCACCTTGCAGATACTAATGTCAACGCTGCAAATATTGTATATTCTTGCTTTTGACAATATGCAGAATTGTCTGGTAACTATGGGGTTAATAAAGAGCAGAAGGGGCATTGGGGGTAAAGCCCGGAAAATTGCTCAGAGGAAGAGAACTTAGATCCTACCATCCCTCCTTTGTGCCTGTGCCGACATTTTATTTATTTATTTATTTATTTATTTATTTATTTATTTATTTATTTATTTATGTGACTTATATACCGCTTTAAGTACAAGCATTCTCTAAGCGGTGTACACCAGTAAGCAATGTATATATATATATATATTTACATTGCCCCCAACAATCTGGGTCCTCATTTTACCCACCCCGGAAGGATGGAAGGCTGAGTCAACCTTGAGCCGGTGAGATTTGAACCGCTGACCTGCTGAACACAGTCAGCTAAAGTGGCCTGCAGTACTGCACTCTAACTGCTGCGCCACCTCAGCTCATTTTGTAACAATAAAAGACTTTTAGGAAAATAAATGCCTGGAAGTTCTTTGGAATGTTTGATTAGCCGGAACCACATCAACTAACCTCTCACTCCAAAATGCCTATGGTGAGGTATATATCCTATTTTAACATATAACTTTGACTGGATACATTTGTAAAACCATTTCCCAAAGGGTGTTCTAAATATTTTGGGATAACATTGATAGGAAATATGAGCTGGAATGTGAGCATTATGGAAACACTTCACAACTCCATCTTGATAGGTATTCCTTGCAGTCACACTGGAAATGATGAAACCGTCTGAAACTTTACCTCTGAAGTCTTTCCTTTGACCTTTCCTCTCTGCGAATTTTTTATTTGTTCATGGTATTGTTCAACAAGTAAAGCCGACATGACATATAGCTTTTTAACCCGTAAAGGTTTGGTCTTCTTTTTAGCTTCTTCATCTGCAATCTTTAAAAGGCAAACATTACAAATTAGCTTTATTTTCTAATTACAAAACTAAAGCAGTAAAAGTGTTTTGCACATCAAATAGATTTATATTCTACTCAGACATCTGTAAAAAACTGACAATACTCCAAGCTGTTTTCCCCTTAATAATTTTCTCTCTTGCCTGAAAGTGAAGGATTTCTTAATAAGAGTCTTTTTTGCATTCTTATTAAGTTGAATATAACCCATAAGAAACACGGTTGCAGAATGGAAAACTGAGCATAAGATGGATCTCTTTGAAGGGAGTGAGAACATCTCTCCTTTTTTTTTTAGTTAAGAACTAAATGCTAATTTGGGTGTGAAAAGTAAATTTAATCAAGTTTCATATCACAGGCATACAACATTAAATATATCTTCATAAGCCTTCATCCCCAAAAGTGCATATCAAAACCCCACATGTGGTTAGTCTTCATGCTCCTGGCCTGGAGTCTCAGAAAAATATAGGAAAAAACAAACTGTAAAAGTAGCTTCTAATTCAATACGATACAACTATTGCTGAACAAACAGATAAAAGCCGATTATGTGCTCCAAATCTCCTTTAAGCATATAAAGGCTCTAATAGATAAAATATATAGTACGACAAGAGAAATATGTATATTTATTCCTAGTAATAGAACCATCAATGGGCAAAGTGAAAAATCTACCAGGAATAAAAACTGTCAGCTTCTTAAATAGTTAGCATCGAGCTACTGTATGCCAGTATTACACCAGTAGGCTTTTGTATCCACCAAAACATGTCCTAAATCTTCTGCAGCAGAAAGAGAAGAATCTATTCCATCAGATATTTTTGGAACATCATTCTTTACACCATCTCTCTCTTTTTTCCAGATATCCTTTAACAACAGTACCTTGAACATAAGTTTCGCAGCATCAAAGAAATAATTGGCTTTACGATATAGTTCAACAGCATCAAGAGGTTTATTCTTTTCCAATAACTGAGACGCATATCTAGCTAGAAGAGAACCAATCTCTTTCATATTGTGTTCCTTGGCTAGTTCAACTGCTTTACTCCACTGGAAGAAAAAGCAACAGCCATGAATCAATGCAAATCCAAATTTAGGAACAAAGTCTTAAATAAATGTGCTCTCTTTATCAGAGAAAATAATCGAGGGGACTTTAAGATTACAGTACTAGGACATGGGTACATTTCATTTTGTAGGGATGTATTGGGACTGTAATCTTGTGGAACAGTTGCCACAGTTATGGGAAAGTAGGCCTAAATTAAATTAATTAATGTTTCAACCTAGAGCAGAAAATAAGACAAGTACGTGTGATGTTTCTTCAGTGGTTAAATGTATTTATGTATAAATATTAAAAAATGATAATGATGATATTAAAGATATATTTGTCAGGGACAGGAATGTACATATTGAATGCAAATGATGCCATGTTGTTAGTCAAATGCTAGATGCAACAAAGAATATGGATCTGAAAATTAACTTTTAGTCTGACAGGAAAATGGCGTGAACAATTATCAAAATTATCAATAGCGAAAATAGAGGATAGGTAGTCCCCGGCTTACAACAGCACTTGGGACTGGAATTGCTAAGTAAACTGGTCATAAAGCACAACGCCACATGACTGTTGTTTAGTGATGGCAGTTTTGCCGTTCCAGTTGTTATCATTAGGTAAGGATTACACATGACCATAACTTCCGTCTTCCTCCTGGCTTCACCACTGAATTTGCTCGTGGGAAGTTGGCAGGGAATGGTGGAAATTGACACTCAGTTCTCAGTCACGTGCTGCAGGGATGCTGCGACAACCAGAGCTTTGAGGACTAGTAAATCCCCCTAGTTCAGCACCATCGTAATTTTGAACAGTCGCTGAGAGAATGGACATAACCCAAGGATCACCTATATTTGAATTAATTTGTGTACCTTAGCAGAATATTTACTAAATGCTGGCAGAAAGGATGTTTATCAGAAGGAGGGGGAAAGGTTGCCTATAATAGCCTGTTTGTCTGTATTTTTTATATGAAAATCGGAATTTGGTAAGCTAGGAAAGACATAACGGCAAGATGAAAGCAGTGAATGTGCGGTGCATCACATTTGTGTGTAATAAAACAAGAAGAGAATAGTGGGTGTAATAAACTTAAGGAAAATAGACCCAGAGTGAAAGAGAGTGTGCATTGTATGTATGTGTGTGAGTGACCAGTACAAAAGAAATACATTAAGGTGGTCTAGAGACATATACAGAGAATGAATGAAGATTGAATTGCAGAATAAATATACAGAGAGGAGAATGAGTTGAAAGGAAATGAAAAACCAACAAATCTATGGTTGGATGAAGTAATGGATATTCTCAAAAGGAGAGCAATGAGTTGCTTGAAGAAATTTAATAATAATAAAATGCCCATGAGAACCAATATATATTTGTGTTGCTACTGCATTAATCTCTTTGCTAACTAACAAAGTAATTCCAGCTCTAGCTGAAATCTCCATTTTTTTTTTGGTATTTGTCTATTCATCTACCAGTCTAATACTTGCTGTAGTACCTACTTTTGAAGGTAATAATTTTGTCACACAGGGAAGCAGGGACATGGTTGATACAATCATTAAATTTCAGCTGCTTTATCGTTTAGGGAGATGAGTGTTTTTAAGAGGTGAAATTGGTTCTTTAAACACTTTCTCCTTTAGCATTCCACATCAAATGGGGGGGGAGCCTAAGTTTGGGGTTATTTAGACAGCAAAATGGGTGCTTTTTCCTTTATATTCTTCCAACCTCCACAACAATGGGTTGATTAACTATTTTGTTCCCACTGACTCAGCGAGTGTACTTGAGGCTGCAAATGGGATGGAGGCAGGAAGTTGCATATGATCCCTGGATTACCTTCCCATAGTTTAGCTGCAGTATCTTTTCTTTCTCCCCAACAACATATTTTAAACAAGTAGCCAAACCAGACAAGAGATACCTAAATTGGACCTCCTTTATGTTTCTAAAATTAGTTGTGCAAGAGCTTTTGAATGGAACCATGGAAGAAGAGAATTAATTTCCCCCCTATGTTAATTGTCTGAGAATCTGTGTAGTCCCCTGAAAAATAGCTGGAGTGTGTATTTGATATTTGGGGATTGGCCCGTGGGAAAAAAATCAAGTTTTTCAAACTGGTCCCTGATGAAAACTGTGTTCCCCAATCATGCTACCTCTTTTTAGACAGCAGGAGATCTGATTATACATTTCTTATGTAATTTCTGAATTGGCCATTAAAGACACAGAACTTGAGGACACATAAATCCCTAGGTAGATATATTTGTTATATATTCAATCTCTTAGTTGCCAGCTGAAGCTGCAAGGGAAGTTATATTGAAATCAGCCATTCCATTAATATGAACAAGCTCCCCTCAAATAATGTCTCCTATATTATGCTTATATTTTTACCTGGTTGAGATTAACACAGACATCTACTGCATCCTTTGGTCTGTTACATTTCAGAAAGGCAGCTACAGCTTGTTCACACATCCCCACAGTAACAAACTTATGGCTTATGTCCTAAAAGGTATGGAAAGGTATTATTACATTCTAGAATAGTAGCAGCATACAATATCAAAACTCCTTAATTTCTAACAAATTGACTGTGGCCACGTGCTGGCAAAGAACCTCACTTGGCACGCAAGAAATACAAAATATGAGATAGTCGTAACCCAGATTAATCAGGGTAATTATTACTACCATCTTTTCCAGTGTTTTATTGTTTATATTGTTGATATATCTATAGAAATATATCAAGTTAACATAAACATATCAAGTTTTAGAAATTTGAAATGTAAACTATGCTATACTGCTTTTGCTTTGCTATGTACAGACGACCATTTCACAATCACAGCCCTTTTGGGTATTTAGTCTTAAAAATGTGTTAAGAGTATGGCTGAGGTTATTCTGTCCTAAAGGTCATATACGATAAGAAATATCATTTATTATATGGCATTATATTTTTTACCAGATTTTCCTTTCAACACGAGAAACAGCCTGATTTTTAAACTTTCCTTTTATGTCTTCAGTATGTTACCCTCAGTAGAATCAAGGATTTATTTTTTCAGATAAAAAAACTTGCCCAAATCAATAAAATAGAGAATACAATCATAAGCATATGTAACGAGAAACAAGTTTCCCAGAAATTAGCAATAGCACTTAGACTTATATACCGCTTCACAGTGCTTTACAGCCCTCTCTAAGCAGTTTACAGAGTCAGCATATTGCCCCCAGCAATCTGGGTCCTCATTTTACCGACCTTGGAAGGACTGAAGGCTGAGTCAATCTTGAGCAGGTCAGGATTCAACTCCTGGCTGTGGGCAGAGTCAGCCTGCAATGCTGCATTCTAACCACTGCGCCACCAGGGCTTAATATCATCCAAGATAAGCAGCTTATAGTAACTAATCCCAAGAAGCAGCTCTTTTTATACTCACTGGAAGTAACTTGTTATTTTCTGGAAGCGAGTTAGCCAAATTTTCTAGTGCTTGATAGTCTTCCAGCATATAATAACATTCAGCCAAACGTTCATGGTTTCTGCCTTGTACAAAATAGGGAACTGCATTCGCCCTACAATGGTGAAAAACAAAGAGAGAGAGAGAGAGAGAGAGAGAGAGAGAGAGAGAGAGAGAGAGAGAGAGAGAGAGAGAGAGAGAGAGAGAGAGAGAGAGACAGAGAGAGAGGTGGCTGATGATCTGTGAATATTGTTAAATGTGTAAGGAACACTCAGGGTATAATCAAGCAAAGGCATGGTTTCTGAAAAAAATGTCCGGTTATTTATAATTCTGTATTGTCAGTGCTTGAACAGAATTTTAACAGATGTTGCACTAGGGTCATTTTGTACTTCAATTTCCCCAAAGAATATTTCTCTATTTTCCTGCAAATAATGTATTTAATTAAAATCGCAGTCAAAGGAACACATGCACTATTCCAGTTTCATCCTTTGCACTGCAAAATGCAAACATGCTCCATCTAAGTAAGCCGCAATCGCAAGTGGTTACAACCGCATACCATTTCTGTCTGTCTGCAAAGTACTCTCCAATTTCATTGTGCGCTTGTTCAAGGAGGCTGTCATCTCCGTGGCCTGAGCCTGTTTGCAACAGCTGCACTACTCGAAACCCATTGCCTAGTTTCATTCGTAGGTCAACCGCAAGATCTCTGTAAATGTGACAAATATGTAACTTTAGCAGCAGAAACAGTGCTATTTCATGTTTATCTTAGTGGTCAAGGCATCAGACTAGAAACTGGGAGATCGTGATCTCTAATCCCGCCTTAGGCACAAAGCTCCTTGGGTGACCTTGGGCCAGCCACTTTCTCTCAGCCCTAGGAAGGAGGCAAGGGCAAGTGACTTCTGAAAAACCTTGCCAAGAAAACTGCACCGACTTGTCTCTAGGCAGTCTCCAAGAATCAGATATGACTGAATGGGGGGTGGGGTGGGAAAGGGTAGCAAATATTATTGATTCAAATCTCATCTCAATGGAGACTCAAGATCTCATCTCTTTGGCTTTGGCATCGTTTGCAATAACATGGTCTGTTTTATATAACAGAAGTCTTAGAAATTAGTGGATTTCAGAAATGCTCTGAAATTTTGTAAAGCTATGTCAAAGCTACAGAAAATATTCAGTTTTAAATAACAAAGCTGATAATCAAGGGGGGGGAGGCGACAAATGACAAAGGCAGTGTTTATGTTGTTGTACCACAACTCCACCTGTTCTGTACATGAGTCAAGATGTCACACAGATGTACAAAAGGAGCACAGCCTGAAGGGAGAAACAACATGAAGCTGCTTCTGTTATTCAGACATCTCTGGACACCTCTGAAAACAACTTTATGTCAAGCAAAAAAAAAAAAAAATGAATGCTGCAAATTGAAATTGGCTAGCTTGACCTTTCTGCAATCCTTCTTCATGCTTCATGTTCTTATTAGTCTTTCTAAGGAGTCCAGTTTGGGAAATGTAATTTATGTATACACTAACATTTTTAAATTAATCAGTTCAAAAACATGTCTTCCCACCATCAAATGCTATTATATACTTGAGATTTTGTACTCTTAACTGAATTTATCTAGGGCAATTACCTTCTATCCATGTCCAAGTACATTCTTTCAGCTTCTTCAAATTTTCCAAAATAAACCGCCACTTCAGCTTGCCTAAGTGCTTCGCTCTGGAGATTGTGAAGGCGTTTTACAAACTTAATACCCTGATAATTTTTATAACGTACAAAAGCTTGCTCAGCAGTGTGAAGATCAAGTTTTTGGAGAGCTGTTTCAGCCAGTAGACGCCTGTATAAAGTACACATATTTTATATCTATATAGATATCCTCTTTATTAGGAATACAGATAGTCCTTGACTTATGAACATTTGTTTAGCAACTGTTCAGAATTATGATGGTGTTGAGACTTATGAGCCAGTCCCCAATGTTACGGTCTTTACAATGCCCCCACTGTCATGTGATTAAGATCTGGGCACTTGGTAATGCAGTCACACTTACAACTAGTTGCCAAATGTCCTGTGATCATCATTTGCAATCTTCTCTGCTGGCTTCCCCAGAAAGTCAATAGGGAAGCTGACAGGGAAGATCACAAGCCAGTGCCACTTTGTAAAAAGATCCCTCCTGTCTTTAGGGGCTAGCTGAAAAAGCTCTGTGCTGAAATCCGGGAAGAGTTTGGCATCAGGGATTTCAGCCAGCTGAATCAAGAGTTGCTGAAAATCAAGAAGGATTTTTTTTTTATTGAAAGTTTTTAAATTTTACAAAACAAATCCCTTCCCAAAACCCCCACCCTCCCATACCCTCCCCCATCTTCCCCAAACCTCCCATACCCTCCCTCAATCTTCCCAGAGCTGAGTACAGGCTTAATTAAAATTTTCAAGGAAAATAAAAAATAGAAAAAAACTTAAAACACATATAAATCCTAAACAAATCTAAATACCTTAAATTAAACAAATTATCTTCTCTAAAACATAATAGTTGCAAATATTAAACACACATTATAATATACTTTAAACATTTTCTAGTATTGTACTTATATTATTATCCATCATTCTATATAGAATCCCCAAAACACAAATTTAAACATTACTTTCTTTAAATATCCATACCTACAATATAAGATCTAATCTCCCTCTTTCTTTACTCTAGAGCACAAAAATAAGCATATAAACATTCATTATACCATTAAGACTGGATACTCTTTTGAATAGTTAAACTAAATACTTATATTTAAACTTCTTATCTAAAATTTTCATTCAATCTCCATAATCTTCTCTCCTATCAAGAAAAGAAAAAACTTAAAAAACATATAAATCCTAAACAAATCTAAATACGTTTAATTAAACAAATTAGCTTCTCTTAAAAATAATAATAATAGTAGATCCCATAAACATAACTTAAAACATTAAAATTCCCTTATACCTGTTTAAATCTTTACCAATAACAAATTCCTCCACAGTAAACACATTCCTTCTCTAACCCATAAACTTCTTAAAGGTAATTCCAAAAAGTTTGTAAATCTTAATTCTCCCGCAATCTCAATAGTCTTCTAAATACTTAAACTAAGTACTTAAACTTAAACTTCTTATCTAAAATTTTCATTCGATCTCCATAATCTTCTCTCCAATAGCCAGTTCCATCCACTGTAAACACAATCCTTATCAGTCTCTCTTGTCCATAAATCTCGAAAGAAGTACTTTAAAATCTGCCCTTAAAGGTAGCTCCAAAAAATTTGTAAGTCCTGGTTCTCCCACAAACTCAGGAACCAATACTTGTGAGGCTTCCTTAACCTCCTTCTTCTGTTGGTCTTTCTCTTTACGTTTATATGTTGCACAAGTTGTCCTCTGCTCTTTCATCTCGACTTGTTGAGGCCCCTCAAACTGAAATTTCCCATTTTTAATTAATATAGGCTCTTCACACTGCAATTCTGCCCTTAAAGGTTGCTCCAAAAAGTTTATAAATCCTACTTCTCCCGCAGATTCAGGAACCAATACTTGTGAAACTTCCTTGACCTTCTTCTGTTGATCCTTTTCTTTACAATTATATATTACACCGGTTGTCTTCTGCTCCTCCATCTCTACTTGTTGAGGCCCCTCAAGCTGAAGTTTCCCAATTTTCATAAGTGTAAGCACTTCAGATTGCAATTCTGCCTTTTTATCTTCCAAAGCTTTAAACGTGATAGGTGGCGATGAGCATACCCCCAGGACCAAAGTATAAAAGTCTTTTGCTTTAGAAACAGTATTAAGACTATAACGTATCCCCAGGTAATTCACCACCATTCCAGTCGGAACATCCCATCTAAACAAAATTTGTCTCTTTTTAAGTTCGTCTGCTAAAAAAGCAAACTCCTTTCTTCTTCTTAAAATTTTAGATGGGATCTCCTTTAAAATTATAACATTTTGTGAAGCAATTTGAAACCTCTTCTTATAAAAAGCTTGTATAATTTCATTGCGCAGGGATCTTTTCCCAAAGTAAATTACCACATCTCTTGGCAAATTCTTTTGCTCTGCCACCACAGAGTTAACTCTAAATGTCTGTTCAATTTCACTAAGTATTTCCTCTTTTTCTCTATTCAAAATCACAGCAAAGTCCTTTGCAACCATCTCTCTCAGATCTCCTTGCACAGACTCACCCAAACCTCTGATTCTTAAAGCATATTCCATTTGTTTATATTGAAGCATAAGAATCTCATCTTGAAAATTTTTCATCTCTTTTTCCATACTTTCAAATTTTTCCTTCATCAATTCCACTTTTTCTACTACTTCTTCTACGCGAGAATTCAACTTTTCAAGAACAGAGGCAACTCCTTTCAAAGCCAAAAGTATCTCTTGCCTCAAAGTCTTATTGTTTTCCTCTAGAATCTCTTTCATTTCTCCCCTAATTTGAAGTATAACATCTCCCATCATATCTTGCAAATCCTTCACCATTGTTGACTGTGGCAAAGAAGAAGATGAGGCTATTAATTTAGGTTGTTGCGCTGATGATGGCACTGAAGAAGAAGCCACTTTAGAAGCTGTAGGGATTACTGGACGCTTTGGAGCCATCTTAAAAAAATCTTTACTCCTTCTTAGAAATTGCAAAAATTAAACAAAGGAAAAAAAGAAGTTAACGCCATAAAATAAAAAAAAAATCCTTCAAGAGGAGATCATTATAATAAAAAAGGGAGTTCAAAAAAAAGAAAAGAGAGAAAGAAAAAAGAATAATTAAATAGAAAAAATCCATTCCATTTTTTTAAAAATACAAAAAATACAAAAAACAAACCAAAAAAGTACAAAAATAATAATACTAACACTCCATTCCAATCATTAAAAAAAACAAAAAAAAGGAAAAGGGAAAGGGAAAAAAGAAACCCCCAAAAGCCTGCCGGTCGCCATTCTACCTTCCGAAAAAAAAACACCGAAAGGCTTGCCGATCGCCATTTTACTTTCCCTTTCAACAAAGGAAAAAAAATAAAAAGAGGGAATATAAAAGTAAAAATAAATCTTTGAACTTAAAATCCAAATAAAATCAAAGAAAGCAAAACCTAAATCCTCTACTCAGCTCTGTCCGCTTCTAAAAAAAACTCACCAGTTAACTTTAATCGCGGAGGTGGTTGCAGTGGCTTGTTTTGTCCCCAGGGACAAAAGCAGCTGGGAAGCGGAGACAGTCTGAACTCCGTGGGAGCACTCTTTTCACCCCCCCAAAAAAAACTTTGGGGGTGCATAAGAGGCTCTACCACTATTCAGACACCTCTCTACCCCCCCCCTTTGCCCGGGAGGGGGTTTTTGAACCGCTGAACAGCTGATGTCCGCTGTTCATAGCGATTCAAACACTTACCCAGGAGGACGGCTACAAAGTAGCCGCCATCGCGCGCGCAGATCCACCGGAAGTCCAATCAAGAAGGATTTTCAGCCCTGGAGGATTTTCAGTCCCAGATGGAGAGGCTTCAGAAGCAAGTGGCATGATGACCTACTGATGAAGACATTCACCTCCAACTTGGAAGATTGAGTTCAATCCTAGGTAGCAGCAGAATTTTTTTCTTCTAGGGTGCAAAGAAAAAATATCTGCTGCAAACACTGCATGGCATCAGGAAGGGCATCTGGCTAGTAACACTCAGCTCCATCCAGTCGCCCTGACTGTACCCTGAATTAAGGGATTACAGGGTTGTAAAAAGGGAGGTTTTTGTTATGGAGAAGCTTCAGAAGCCTCTTGGTTCTCGGGCTGAAAATCCAAGAGGCACTGAGGCCCTTGCACACAGAGCCTGACACTCCCCCGTACCCTTGCACATCGTCCCCAAACCATGCTTCTGCACCATACCCCTATCCACTCTCCCTGACCTTCTCATGTACCCCCTTGCTCCCTCCCTCACCCAGCAACGGGTGGGGTTTGCATCTTGCTGCCGGCTTCCCCACTGCCTTGATTGTGGGAAGCTGGCAGGAAGTTGCCTCGCTTAATGGCCAGGGCATTCCTGGTGTGCTGTTGCTTAGCGATGGCAATCACAGTATTCCATGAAAAGCTTCACTTTAGTATTTCAAACTTTTTTAGTTGAGCTCTACCTCTGGGGATGCAAAAGCTAACTGTCAAATTTGAAAAAAAGAGTGGCATGCTGCAATAAGTACCTAAATATATTGTGTGTGTAATTCTTCCAAACTTATTTCCAAAGCATATATAGTTCGATTGAATTGATCCTTCAAAATCACAAAACTGTAAGAAGTCTCAGAAATTTTCTAGTGTACAATTTTCACCTCTGCACATTGTACCCTTTCTTTTGTTTATTCTCTTTTTCTTTTTAAGTGGGATAATTTAAGTTACTGGGGGGAAAAAAACCTCTGCCTGCCAATTAGAGAATAATGGATAGTCATTATAGAATAACTATCCATAGTTTAGGAGGAATAAATAGCCCTCCAAATTTTTCCATAATTTCTCTATGTCTAATATTCTCTGCTAGTAATGCTTATTATAAGAATGTAATAGGAATTACTACATAACTACTATTATGAATCATTATACTGATAACACATAAAAGCTGTAGGAAATAAAATGGAAATAAATTTTTTACCAAAGTCTTGGATGTGAATTTTCTTCAATGAACTGGGAAGATTCTGCAATCCCTGCCTCTTTAACAATTGCCTGAGCATCTCGTAGCGATCTAATATCAAAATGTATTATGCAGTCCTTATTAGGGTGTTCAGGATTCTATTCAAATAGAAAAAAAAATCTCTTATTCATTTCCAATCAAGCTATTTTCTTCCCGCACATGGCAATTTCTTCGACTAAAAGAATTTTTTTTACTTACCTTTAATATTTCATCCAATAAGACAGATTTGATTTCTAAATCTTCAAAGTTGCAAATATATCCAGACGTTTGAATGGGCTCCTTAGAATACATAAAGGTAATTAATGGTTTAAAAAAAAACTTAAATGCATTTTGGAAGTGCTACACAAAGTCTCTTTGAATCCTGCTTAGAAGATTTTTATCCAGGCTACTATAGTTTCTACACCTGCAATTAGAGTGCTCAAGGGGTTGAACACCTTGTGTACAACTCCCCTCCCCCAAATATTTGAAACTTTTTACTTTTAAATCAATGACTAAGGGAGATCTATGAGAATAAAAAGTTAAAACAGATATGACTGTAATTGTTCTGAAGGGTAATCAAAGATGACTTTAAAGACAATTCAGGCAATTGGAAGGTATTCAATTGGTAATAGCCAAAAGATGTGAAGACAAGTTAATTCTTTCTTACCACATGGTTAGGGTAAAATCAAACAGAGAAATCACCTTTATACTTTACTTATGACCTTCTAAATGATACACCTATCTTGAAAGTTACACAATGCTATACCAAATGTTGCTATTGTTCAGTACTCTTATGTCCAACAAATGAATGTTTAATTCATTTATCACTTTATAAATGGTCAGGTAGAGGGGCAAGAAAGGGGTGGCAGTGGCAAAAATCAAAAGAACAATTCCTTGAAAATGATTATTTCACTGAACTTTTAGCCCATTTAAATGAACTTCACTTATTTTCTTTTTGGGTCCCCATTTGAATTCAAATTCAAATATGATGATCGTGATCATAATTAAATTAATATTTTTCCATTATTGTTAATTACTCTACCTCAGGATCCAGGTTTCTAAACACATACATTCTTGTTTTCTCCATCATGGCAAACAAATCTGGATTATCTTTGGCCCATTTCATATCCCAAACATCTCTGCGTTCCAGTTTGAGTTGTTCACCAACTCCTTGGCATCCTGAACCATCTGTTACTCGTGTATCCAAGTCAAAGAAAACCAGCATTCCTAACATGTCTATGATAGCAAGACGACTACAAACATAACAAAGGCAGAGTAGAAAAAAAATACTTTTGATTAATATTTCAGTATTAGATTAAAAACGAACATTTTCTCTGGATACATCTTCAGCAAAAAATGAAAAGAATTTTACACTGAACTTTGTTCTGTAATACAAATATAGAGACTGGGAATATTTGTTTAAACAAAACCTGTCATTCCCATCAGAGTTGTTCTTTACCTGTTTTATAATCTTGTTTTTAGTATAGTACATTATCTACAATCCTTCAAGATCCTTTAATCAATTTATAAGAACTGTAAATAAAAAATTGAGAATCGTTTTAATAACAAACCTTTCTTTTCTTACCTTGACTTGCAATTCAAGGACATTTGATAGGGCCGGTAGTTTAGGAGATATTTTCGAATTAAACCAACATTGGGCAGCCTGTAACTCTGAATAGTGCCCGATTCTCTTCCCTAGGCAAAAATAAATAGCAAGGCACTATGAAGCAAAACGTTTCCTCATTAGAGGCACTTAGTAAGGCATGTAGTATATCATGTCATTTAATAAACTTTTGCTGCACTTCGGAAAGGCTTCTGTATTAATATTCTGATTAAATTAGTAACTGGCTAAATGAACAATTGGTGGATTCTGGCAAGCATGTCAGCCTAACAAACTGACACGGGAGATCTTTTGCCTGCGCATCTATCATTCCTCTCTTCAAAATCCATAATATTATAAAGGCTATTTTAATTAAAAAATATAGTTATTACATTTGGTATAAGTCAGGTTCTTAAACTACAAAATGCAAAATGGTTGTGCAGATTTTCTCTTATAAAACTTAAGTTAGTTCCCTGAACTGGGTCACTGTGTTTCTCTTCTACGTTTTCTCTATCAATTTCTCTATATACAAATAATGCATAGCTCTAATTCTGTATTTCTGAACTGTTTTTTAATTATCATCCAGAAAAATATTTAATGTGTAAAATTCTTCATCTAAGTGGTTGCACTGTGCTTTTATGTAAGATGTTGTAATCTCTGCTGGAGTTAGGCGGGAACACTTGCCCTCCAATTTTCAAATGTACTATACTTTGTGTATGTGTGTTGTTGCAGATTACCTTTCATATAATTTTCCCCTATTCCTATCCTACTACAATTGTTTTCTTATGTACAATATATAAATTCAAATCCATCACAGCCAGATACACTATTTATTTTAAACTAATTTTACTCTTCTCAACTACTTTAAGATTTATATTTGAAAAGCAAAGAACAAATATTGTAAAACAAAAAAAAAATTCTCTATTACTTACAATAATCAGTGTCTTATCCGATGCAGTTATTGCACAAATAGGATCCCTTGTGCCCTGAAACCATATAAATAATAACAGTGCAATAGCCCAAATTTAACTTATTTCTCTAGAACAGGGGTGACAAACTGCCGGCCCGCGGGCTGGTTGCATCATACAGAGGCCGCGCCCACCACAGCTCCAGCAATGCAAAAAAAGTCGCAATACGTCACAACACGTCAGATGACGCGTAGAACAAAATGCAAAGCAAACCACAAGGTTAAATGAAATAACATTAAGAAATGTTGATGAGTTATAAAACAGAATGTGTCTTTTTAAATTAAAAAGCGACTTCACATTTAAGATGGAAATAGTAATCCATAAACAAACTTGGCATCTGGAATTCAGCTACGGATTAAAAGGGAAACTTACTTGTAGGACCTTCGCATAGTCAAGAGCTCCATCACCTGCTCCAGAAGGACTATCATCCACATGGTAAATCCTGAAAGAAACCAAGCAAATATTGCACTGAAGTTACACTGAAAAAGTGTACCACAATATGGGAAAACTTATTTCAAAAAAAGAGTTTTGAATTCCAATTATTATTTCTGGCATCAGCATACTTTCATTTTACAAAAGAGATCAACTTACAAGTAACACATTATTTCAACTGCATTAGCTCTTATTCATAAAACAGCTGTTTTAATTGTTTTTAGAAAAAAGGTAAACATTCCTTTAAGATGCTTTTGCTCTGTGGGTGACGACATGGACACAGTCACGTAAGTTCTTGGCATCAATGTGGGTGTGATTTTCTGCAACCTTTTCTTAGAAAGTATTTTTTTTCCTTCTGACAAGATTATTAATCAAATGTCATAAAATCACTGCTAAGTGGTAAGATATACAGCACAGGAAAAAGAAGTAAAAAAGCAAAACAATGGACAAACCTTTCTTTGCCTTCTTTTCTGGTCCGTGCTACCTGATTAATTTCCATTGCTGTGAGCTTCTTGTCTACACGATATTGCCAGATATAAAATGCTTCTTTTGAAGCTGCTATGACCTGGGTTTTAGTCATTGTAACAAACAGTGGGGCTATTATAAAATCCAAACAAAAAAAAAAACATAAATTAAAGAGTCACCCTACAAAAGAGATGGGTGGCATAAATATTTAATAATGAATAAAATAAATAATAATTAGCCCTTTCAATACTTCGATGCAAATTCATCTCGCATTAGATGTGAACAACAAACAGCAACACTGAATAGTTTTGCAAAATTGTTCTGCTTAAACAAACATATTAGGCAGCATAAGTTCTTTTAAAAAGCATAAATATTTTTGTAGCCAAAGGGCTGAGTTGCAGTTTGGAAAAATAACCTGTCATTTCATCTTATCCACCAATTCATAAGATTAGTGTAAATGATATTAGCTATATCAGAACCTGTTGACAGGAAGAATGTAATATTATTGTCCATCATTATTATTATAACTTTATCTAGTTTATTCTATACTGAATATCATGTACTGTGTCAGTTTTGGAACTGGGTCTAGGGAAATATATTTAAAAAGAATGCAGAAATCAGAAAAAAACCTAAGTAAAGCAACTTGTAACTTGCAACAAAAAAGTCTACCAAATAACTAGTGTTAATGAGGACAGAAGACTGAGAATGTTCGTACAAAAATATGCAGATATACTTTAAATATTTGCTTACCAATATCTATATATTTTGGATCCAAGGGTGTGCCAATGGAATTACAAAGAACAAGTACATACTAGAGAAAAATAAAAACACATACAATTATCACAAGACAAATCCAACACTCTCTAATATAAGGCAAGATTCTGGATGGATTATATAAAGATGTATGTGAACAATTTATTATTTGAACATATAGTCATATTTTTAATCAGTTAGAGAAGAAAAAAAGCAGCAATACCTATACTTTTGTATTACGTTACTTTGTATTACGTTAGAGGCTTTTCAAGTTAAAAAATAACCACAGAATGAAAAGACTCCTTCTCATACATAGAAGCACCAGTATTATGTAAAGAAAGCCATCAGCCTTTTCCTTTGTACTACAATATATATAATATATTCTTGCACAATACAAAACCCCCCAATTTTCTTTATCGGTTCCATAATCGAAAGAAGTATAAAATCTCAAATGACAAAAATGAAATCTCATAAAATATGACAATCTTGCAAAGTGGAGGCTTTTCCAGGATTGTATTAATTTCAAGATTTCCCCACCAGAGGCCTTTCACCCCTTCTCCAATGGTGGGATTCAAATAATTTAACAACTGGCTCTCTCTGAAATCACAGAACCCTTTAAGAGCCAGTTGTTAAATTTAAGAGGTGCACACGTAAAAACCAAGTCAGGGCAGGGGTGTGTGGGGGGGGGTGGAGCTGCCCCACGGGCCTCACACCTGCTTACTTCAGGGCCCATGCTCCCAGGCCACTCCCCACTTGGTGACCTCCCCACTCCGGTTCAATGACCTGGCTGCCTGCCCGCCTCTTTCCTTTCACTCCCCTCCTGAGCTGGACTGCCACGCTACACAGGATGGACCTTACCCAGTCCCTCTCCGCCGTTTCGGAGCCAGGGGAGAGTGATGGTGAAAGGCTCTGCCACTGCAGTGCAACAGCAACGTCTGCCACTGGAGGGGCTTTCTTTGGCCTCCGCCACTCCTGCGTCGCCCCACAGATCATCTGCTTGGCAGCAGCCACCACCTCCTTCTCTTCCACCAACTCTCCCGTGGCTTGCACCATAACCGTGTGTGTGTGTGCAAGTCTCCCCTGCCACCTCCCTCTGTCACAGCCACGGTGCTCCTGCTTGCATGAAGCAGCAGCCCATATGGGCTGCCTTCTTCCCAGCCAAGAAAGAAAGGCGGCTTATGGTAGCTTCCTTCACCTCCCCAGGATGTCCTTAAGTCTTCCTTTCTTCCTTCTGCTGGTCAGCACTTTCTTGCTGCCCTACATCTCCCTTCTCCATTCTGGAAATGGCAGGTCTGTTTTCTGCCACTTTCCTCCCGGCAGAAGGGAGGGAAGGAAGGACACTTTGTATGGAAGGGCACTAAGCTCCGGGTAAACTACTCCAGCTGGAGCTGGGCAAGGAAGGCCAGGCTCCCCTTCCCCAATGGTTCTGCAAAGCCCTTGAGGACGAGATCCGTTTCCTGCAGGTTTAGCCTCAGTACCCTCTTCGGATGGCAAACAGAAGAGCTTTGCTCTTTTTCTCCAGGCTCTTTGAAATTGCTCCTCACCCTCCCCCCCCCACACACACCTTCGCTTTTCTGCCTTAAAATCCAGAGCAGACACTCAACTTCTTAGGAAAAAATCATACCGGCAGCTACTGTATCCTCAGCTGATCGGGAGGAAAATGTGTCTGTTCTGGATTTTAAGGCAGAAAAGTGAAAAGGGGGGGTTCAATTTCAAAAGGCCTCCGGGAGGAAAAGAGCAAAGCTCTTCTATTTGCCATCCAAAGTGGGTGCCGAGACAGCCATTTGTCTAAAATGGTATAGGGCAGGGGTGTCAAACTCAATTTCACTGAGGGCTGCATCAGTATTGTGGTTGCCCTTGGGGGGGGGCGGGTGGGTGTGGCCAGAGTGGGTTCAGCCTACTAGGTGGGCGTGGATGGAGTGGGTGTGGCCTATTGGGTGGGCATGGCCAGTTCTACATCATTCGCATCAAGGGTGCCTGTGGGGGCCTGGGCAGGAGTGGGACAGATCTGAGGGTCTCTGGCAGAAAGGGGTGGGACCGGAGCAAGTGCCAAGATGGCCACCACAAAATTGTACATTGGCTCCCGGCTGGCCTGGGCCAGGCCCAAGGCAGTGGGGGCCGTTCCCTCACTGTTTCCAGGTTGGCTTCGCGGGCCACATGAAATTACTTCGCGGGCCGCATCCGGCTCCCGGGCCTTGTGTTTGACATGTCTGGTATAGGGTTTCCTGCCTGAGCAGGGGGTTGGACTAGATGACCTCCAAAGTCCCTTCCAACTTTATTATTATTATTATTATTATTATTATTATTATTATTATTATTATTAATTATTATTGATCATCGCACAGTCAGCCAGATGTTCAGACTGGATTTGGCATTTTGTCTACCTATCGAGTCCTTACCCAGGACCTGGGATAGGCAGATGTGGATGGTTGATGGTATTACAGATATCGTCGCAGGATGGAAGCAGTTCCTAATAAGGCCGCCTTTTGCAATTGACTAATAGCAAATTTGTCAATGCCAATGGTGTTCAAGTGGTGCTCCAGTTGTTTTGGGATTGCACCCAAGGAGCCTATTATTATTGGTACTACCCTTGCTTGTTTTTGCCACAGTCTTTCTATTTCTATTTGTAGGTCTTTGTATTTTGTTATCTTCTCCAGTTCTTTCTCATCTATTCTGCTGTCTCCAGGCACTGCCACGTCCACTATCCAGACTTTTTTGTCTTTCTTATCGACAATTGTTAAGTCTGGGGTGTTATGTTGCAGGTGCTTATTATTAATATTACTATTACTATCAATCATCGCACAGTCAGCCAGATGTTCAGACTGGATTTGGCATTTTGTCTACCTATCGAGTCCTTACTCAGGACCTGGGATAGGCAGATGTGGATGTTTGATGGTATTACAGGTATCGTCGCAGGATGGAAGCAGTTCCTAATAAGGCCACCTTTTGCAATTGACTAGTAGCAAATTTGTCAATGCCAATGGTGTTCAAGTGGTGCTCCAGTTGTTTTGGGATTGCGCCCAAGGAGCCTATGACTATTCGTACTACCCTTGCTTGCTTTTGCCACAGTCTTTCTATTTCTATTTGTAGGTCTTTGTATTTTGTTATCTTCTCCAGTTCTTTCTCTTCTATTATGCTATCTCCAGGCACTGCCACGTCCACTATCCAGACTTTTTTGTCTTTCTTATCGACAATTGTTAAGTCTGGGGTGTTATGTTGCAGGTGCTTGTCTGTTTGAATTCTGAAGTCCCAGAGCAGTTTAATTTTATCATTTTCTATGACTTTCTCTATTTTATGATCCCACCAGTTTTTGCTTACAGGCAAATGATATTTTTTGCAGATCTTCCAATGCACCATTGTTGCTACTTTGTCATGCCGCTGCTTGTAATCAGTCTGTGCAATCTTCTTGCAACAGCTTACCAAGTGGTCCACTGTTTCTTCAGCTTCTTTGCATAGGCGGCACTTACTGTCTGTTGCTGTCTTCTCAATTTTGACTTTGTATGCATTTGATGGTATTACAGGTATCGTCGCAGGATGGAAGCAGTTCCTAGTAAGGCCGTCTTCTGCAATTGACTAATAGCGAATTTGTCAATGCCAATGGTGTTCAAGTGGTGCAGTGAGGCATTACCTTGACGTGGTTGTGGGGCTTGTGTACTCTGAGGAAGATGAGAGCTATGCCAGAGGTTCAACCATACTGGACAGGTCTCATCAGAGGAGTCAGACAAAGAGTGTCTCTCCCATAAAAAATATGGTGAGACGTAAATTTCAGAATGCCATACCGGCTCGGACGTCGCCCGGGTTAACAAGGTCCGCGCTAGATATTGGAGTTCCTGGATATCTGGTGAAAAATGGGTTACAGGACTCAGGACTGTTGGCTGAGCAACCAGGGCCAGCAGCTGCAGAACTACTGGAAGAAAAGGTGTTTACCCGTCGCAGATACACAGTGATGGAAAACAAAGAAATAATGATCTGTTACTACAGATCAAGTCCAACAAGAAGAGGATATCTAAAACGAATGCACCAATTCTGGAAAGAACAACATCCAGAATCAGAAATAACAGAACAGAGACTAGCAGATCAACGCCGATTTATAACACGAAATAAAGTATTTACAGAAACAGAATTGGACGAACTGCAAAGGTTTACCCAGGGCAAAGAAATCAAAGCCTTACAAGAAGTAATTCAGAATGTAGAGGCAAACCAGGGGGAGTTGGCAGTGAAAGAATCCAGTAGAGATATACAACTGTTCTCATTTGGAAACCAGGCACCTCTTCCTCAGGAAGAACAAAACCCTCTAACTAAAGAAATAAAAGAATTGAAACAAAGAATAACTGAGCATCTAGAACAGCACAAAAACAACAGAATAAGGCTGCCTGCATTGAAGCTTGTTTCAAAGAAACAGCTAGCACAAGCACTAAAAGATGCAAATACTGCAATAGCAAGTTTAAGCACCAATTCACTGCAAGAAACAAACCAACTAATGTACAGCACAGCTGCAGTTATAACAGAATACCTGGGATGTAAAATCAACAAAAAAGAAAAACAAACAAACAGTGCACCACAAAAATGGAAGGTTAGACTAGAAAATAAGATCAGCAAGTTAAGATCACATGCAAGCAAGCTAGAACAGATGAAAGAAAAGAAGCTGAAGAACAAGAAGACCAAAGAATACCTAATCAAGAAATACCACTTAGAAACAAGGAAGATCAAGGAAGCACTGGAAATAATAAAGCAACAAATAACAGCTATAGCCAGGAAAATCAGTAGATATGAAGCTCGAATTGCAAACTATAGGCAGAACCTCCAATTTCAATCCAATCAGAAACGTTTCTACCAATCCATCAATGGAGAAACTGCAAGGAATCAGTCAGTACCTGACAAGGAAGAAACAGTGCAGTTCTGGAAGCAGATATGGGATAACCCAAAGAAATACAACAAGGATGCGGCTTGGTTAAAAGAGGTGGATGCAAATAAAACAGAAGTTGAAATGAAAGAACTAGTAATAACAACAAAAATGGTAGAAAAAAGAGCAAAGAAAATCAAAAATTGGTCAGCACCAGGTGAAGATGAACTGCATGGGTTTTGGTTGAAACATCTAACTGTTATACACCCACTCATTGCCAAGCAGTTCAACAATATACTACAAGGAGGAGAAATTGAAAAGTGGCTAACAACTGGGAAAACCTACCTAATAATGAAAAATCCAGCAAAAGGGGCAACACCAGGTAACTACAGGCCAATTACCTGCTTACCAACAACTTTCAAATTACTAACTGGTGTGGTAGCTGATGCAGTACAACAGCATCTAGTTGAAAACAATCTCTTTCCACCTGAGCAGAAAGGAAACCGCCCCAATAGCAGAGGAACAAAAGATCAACTCCTAATAGACAAAATGATCTTGGAAAACTGCAAGAGAAGGAAGACCAACCTGAATGTGGCATGGATTGACTACAAAAAGGCATTTGACTCTCTGCCACATGATTGGATAATCAAGTGCCTAGAAATAACAGGAGTCAGTAGAAACATCAGAAAATTTGTGCAAAGATCGATGGCACAATGGAAGACACAGTTGCAGATCAATGGTGAGAAGCTGGGAGAGGTTAATATCAAGAGAGGAATATTTCAAGGAGATTCATTATCACCATTACTATTTGTTATTGCACTGTTTCCTCTGTCAACAATACTGAATAACTCAGGACATGGTTATCAAACATCAAAAACATCTGCTAGACTATCCCACCTCCTTTACATGGATGATCTGAAGCTGTATGGAAAAACATCATCTGAAATAGAATCGCTGCTCAACACTGTCCGTATATATAGCCAAGATATTGTAATGGAGTTTGTCTTGGACAAATGTGCCACACTTACTATCAAACAAGGAAAAATAATGAAAACTGAAGGAATCAAGATGCCCCACGAAAATAACATTAAGAGTCTGGATGAGGAAGAGTACTACAAATACTTGGGTATCCTTCAAGCTGACAACATCAAGCACACTGAAGTCAAGAAAAAGATTAGAGGTGAATACATCAAGAGAGTGAAGAAGATCTTAAAATCCAAACTCAATGGAGGAAATACCATAAAGGCAATCAACACCTGGGCAATCCCAGTCATTAGGTACACAGCTGGAATAGTGGACTGGACTCAAGCAGAACTAAAAGCAATGGATAGGCAGACCAGAAAAATAATGACAATGAATCATGCCCTTCATCCACGCAGTGACATTGATAGACTTTATCTACCAAGGCAAATAGGTGGGCGTGGAATGCTACAAGTACATCAGATGGTTGAAGAAGAAAAAATGGCTTTGGAAGAATATCTGAAGAACAATGATGAAGATGCACTGAAATTAGTATATCAGGAAGGCTTACTAACTACTGGAGAGACCAAACTGGCCTACAAGAAAGACCAAATGAAGAACAGAATAGAGGCATGGGAAGACAAAGCACTACATGGCCAATACATGAAAAAAATAGCTGGGAAAGCAGATAATAATAAAACCTGGCAATGGCTAAGAGCAGGAAAATTGAAGAAAGAGACCGAGGGACTAATTCTGGCTGCACAAGACCAAGCCTTAAGGACTATTACTATTATTATTATTATTATTATTATTATTATTATTATAACACGGTGAACTAATCCAACACACTGTCCTCCTCCTATTTATTTCACAGCAACATTGTGAGGAGGGTTGCGCTAAAAGAGAGTGATTGGCTCAAGGTCACCCAGCTGGTTTCATGGCTAAGGTGAGAGTAGAATTCATGGTCTAAAAAATCATGTCTTTCTGATCTGTATATTATTTTGTACTTTGCTTCTTGTTTATTTTGCTGTATTTTATTTAGAATGTTTATCATGAAACAGTCTAGAATACTTATTCTGAAGAATTAAAATAAAATAAACAATTTTTACAGAGAACTGTAGACAATTATATGTATATATATATATTAGGACTAGGTATCATTTCAACCCATTTCACCCCACGTAAGTAGATAGTCATTTTTCTCATCTAACAGCTTCTATGAATAAAAAAGAAAGCAATTCCAGAAATTACAACAGTGATATAATCTGTACTAATTACATCCTAAGAAACTGTTATTTTGATAGATATATTTTCATATAACTCTATCAGTTAAGGCATCATTTAAAATCATTGCTTTACCATTCCTCCAGCGGATTCTGTTTCATCCTCCTCCTTTGTAAGCATTGTACAAAAGATATAAGAAATAATGAGGGTTTTTTTCCCCAGAAGATAAAGCAAGTATAGCAGAACATTCTTGCCTGAATCATTTGGATTTCTGAAGTGGATGCTGCTGTATGTGGTAAATTTTACAATTTTCTAAAATGCTGTCACGTACAGAAGGAGTGGACTTGTATTTTGTTGAAATCAAAGGTAGTTCAGGCTGAACACTAGGAGGAATTTCACAATGATAAGTGCAATGTTATGCAGTAGCAATTTGCCTAGAACAGGGGCAGGCAACCTTGGCTCTTTTATGACTCATGGATTTCAACTCCAGAATTCCTGAGCCAGCATGGCTCAGCTTGGAAACCTCTCCCTTTCCCCTCAGCACTGCTGGCTCAGGAATTCTGGGAGTTGAAGTCCACGAGTCATAAAAGAGCCAAGGTTCCCTACCCCTGGCCTAGAAGAATGGAACAGCCTTTGCTGAAGAAATTGGGGTAAGATGGGCATCCATCAAAGATGGCTTAGGGCAGTGATGGCGAACCTTTTAGAGACTGAGTGCCCAAACTGCAACCTAAAACCCACTTATGCATTGTCGAGTGCCGGGTGGGTGTGGCCCATTGGGTGGGTGTGGCCAATTGGGTAGGCATGGCTGCAGTGGTAACGTCAGACTGGGTGGGACTAAAAAGTTCAGTTAATCAATTCCAACTTTGCAAGATTTTTTTCTCGCGAAAAGTTGAAATTAACTGATTGAACCTTTTTTTTTTTTTTTGCACACAGCAGCGGAAGCCTAATGCGAAAAGGTTTTATAAATCCAGCTGAAGGCCTAGGACTGGGGCGATGGCGCATGTGTTCACAGAGAGGGCTCTGAGTGCTGCCTCTGGCACCTGTGCTGTAGGTTTGCCACCACTGGTTTAGGGGATTTCTATACTGAGTGAAGAATTAGACTAGGCAACCTATAATATCCTTTCCAATTCATGTGTTCTATAGTACTAGGAACAATTCAGAATTTCATGATAATTTAATTATAGATCAAGAATGAATAACAATTGGACTAACAGATAAGGTTATAAAATAAGCAATAATACCTGCAGTTGATTTTCATCAGCTTTAGTTGCCAAAATGCAGAAGTCTCCACAGGTTGTTATGGAGATTAAACTCTTGACAAATTTCAAATATTTTTCATTGTTTTTTATATCCCAAAAGACAACACAATATTCTGGACGGTCCGGTCGGGTATATGCATACACTACAGTATTAGTGCAATAACCCCACTGTTAACAAAAACAATAATACTAATATTCCATAATAACATTGTAATACAGTATGTAGAAATATATTTATAAAGTCAACATTGATGAATATCTTTCTCATATTGCTAATTAGTCACATTTAAAATGTTGAATGCTTCAGATAATTATTGTTTGTGAAAATGGTATAGGGTGTTTAAGGAAACATCCTTTCCCCCTCCACTCCCCAAACTAATATTTTGGATCACAATTTCAATAATTAGAATAGAGTTTATGACATTAAAAATAACAATAAATAGTGAAATATAATATACTAAAAACCCACTCAAAAATGTATTAAGCAATATAGTAGTAAGCAGATGCTCAATTAAAACCTGTTCAGCATCTGATAATATTTTAACATGTCTCTTACCTTGTAGTCTGGTCGAATATTTGCAAAATAAATACACTGATCAACAGCTAATGCTATTTTTAAACCGCCTCCTTCCCAAGATAAAGCTGATACTTGTTTCCCTGGAATCTTTAATGTACGCAAATGCTGAAATGACATCAATCATAAATTAGCTGCACTCTATTAGAAGTATTTTGAAAATAGTTATAAATAAATAGCATATTGAATATTTTCTTGGAAGTTACTGAAAGAGGTTAAATTAGCTAAGAAAAACCTTGAGAAATATTTTTTTATTATTCTATTTTTCTTGATCCTTAAATTTTAAAAAATTATATCTCCTAAAAACGTTACATATTTCTGTGAATAAATTACTTGAAAGTTGACTGCTTCCAATTGGATCCTTACTTTTTTGAATACTAATTACAGAACCTCTGGCTGTAAAAAAAAATCAGATCTTAACAGGTTTGAATAAATGCAAAGAAACCCAGATGACAAAAATATTATCTCAATCATGTAAAAATGATTGAGAAAATCACACCTACTGTACATTGGAATTAGCTAAGCACACCACAGTAAAAACAACCTTAACTATTTTAAACAAAACATTAGAAAGGCTAATGTTAGAGGATACAAGTTATTCACAATATCTTCACAATTACTATAACCGAATTATAAATCAAATTCTTTCTGTGCATTCAGTCATTCCATCTGTAAGAATAAGTATATTACATAAGCTGGCAGAAAGATTCAGAGTAGCCTCCACCTCAACCTTACAATACTGACAATCTTTACAGCACACTGACTTTGCAGTATAAGAAGCATTCAGGTTTTTTATTTTTGGAAAACACTGCCCTATTTGTTTTTCTGCCAAACTTGTTAAACATCAGTATCACTTGCATATTAAAAGGATGTTTTTTCATCCATATTTATGTGTACACAAGTTACAAAAGGCAGCCTGTAGGACTTTCGGACTGGTTACACCCCCCCCCCAGATGTTACCGAGGAAAACTGTTAATGGGGCAAGTTAAGTTTCAGGAAAGTTTCTCTGCTTTTACGGTTTCTAACACTTCTCACTTTCCTGGAGCACAGTTTGAAAATTTTGATTTTTTCAACTATCAATATTAGCTTCTTTTATTTTACACTGAATGTAGAAATAGGAAAATCCATAAAATCCATAATTTTACCTCACCAAATGGAGAATAGAACTGTACAACATTTATATCTTTATCTTGCACAGGTATCTTCTGGAAGCCTGCAATAGCCAGCACGTTGCCACAGTGGTTCCACTGGATGCTCACAACATTCAGAGCCGCATCAATTAAGACAGGGTCTGGTTGTTGTTTTAAACAAACAAACAAATATTGACATAAATGGCATATACAAATATATTAATGGAAAGATACTTATTATTACATTTGCCTGTTGAATGGACTATGGAAATGGAATGGAATATTCTTCATTGGCCAAGAAATTTGTCTCCAGTGCATAATCTCTCAATGTACATACAAACAACAAAATGATAAGTCATAGATCATAAATTAAAAGATACAATCATAAATCATAAGATACAAACAAGTGATAAATCATAAGATATTAATAGGAAAAGATAGCAGGAAAGATGAGAAAATGAGAAGGATGAGAAGGATAACAACAGCATTTAGACCAGTGGTTCTCAACCTTTTTAATGCCGCGATCCCCAACCGGTCGTAAGTCGAGGACTACTCAACCAGTCGTAAGTCGAGGACTACTCAACTGGTGCAGCACCGTTTGCAGAATGGGACTTTTGGCGGGCTCAGCAGGGCAGAGCCAATAGAATTAGACTCTATTCAAGAGAGTCTAGTCTATTGGCTTTCAAAAGCCAATAGAATAAAAGGGAGTAGTACAGCTAAGGAAAAGGGGGAAAAAATGGCAGACTGCGTTGTTTGGCGACCCCCATGAAATGGCCATTCGACCCCAAATGGGGTCCCGACCCACAGGTTGAGAACCACTGATTTAGACTTATGTACTTTTTCACCACTGCTTTACAGCTCTCTCTCTACATGGTTTACAGGGTCAACATATTGTCCCCAATAATCTGGGTCCTCATTTTACCGACCTCAGAAGAATGGGAGGCTGAGTCAACCTTGAGCTGGTCAGGACTGAAGTGCCAAACTGCTGGCAGTCGGCAGTCAGCAGAATTAGCCTGCAATACTGCATTCTAACCACTGCGCCACCATGCTGTTTAAAAGCAATACAGGATAATAGCAATGCAGCTCTACTACATGGATACATTTCTTTAAACATAAGACAGTGCTTTGGGAGTTAGGTATTTAGCAGAATGATGGCATGGGGGGAAAAACTTAATTGTTTTAACATGCAATACCCTATAGTGGTGTCCTGAGGGGAGAAGTTGAAACAGTTTATATCCAGAATGTGAGTGGTCTTCAGATATTTTCTCAGCCCTCTTTAGGCAACTTTATGGTACTTCTTTACAATTCTTACCACAAGGCATGCTTACTTTGATCATTCTCATGTCTCGTTATTTGGCATCTTCCATTGTCAAAACAAATTGCAAGGCAAGGACAGTCTGGCTCTACGTATCCCTCTGTTCCTGGGTACCAATGGATTCCTGCAATGCTGAATGCTCCAGTTACATTCACCAAACAGTTCATTTTCATTTTCATCTACAATATTAATTCAATATACATACATAAATATATATTTTCACCAATCTAATTATTGTATGATTGGCTGAAACAATATTTAAACTAACAAACATTTAACTGAGCTAATCTGCAAGTAAGTGAAGAAACCTGAACCACATAATAATAGAATCAGCTTACTATTAATATGTAAATCACAACGATCTTTTAAAAAGTGAATTAAATAGCTTTCTTTTAATATACTTCTTTTTATATAACAAATGTATTATAAGAAATAGCTACCGTTCACAATCAAGATGATGTCCCTTAAACCAACTTCACAAATAGGCTAATTAGCAACCCTGTGTTGTGCTATATTAAATAGTATAATATACTATCTTAAATCCCTATGATTGGAAAAATCTTTTTAAACTTTGCAATTGCAGAATTAAAAATCATTCTATCACTATAGATTAGGCTAGAATGCTTAGAAAAACGTTTCTAACAACTGGATACTAAAGTGTCCAAAAGGTGACTACTTAGTAGAATATATCTCTAAACGTACCATAAAAGTTCCATTTTTGTCATAAATGTGTATTTCTCCATTGGCCATTCCAAAGAGCAGAGTTCTACCATCTGGAGACCATGCAACATGGTGAAGTTGTACTTTTAAATCCTTTCCCCAAATACGATTCCCTTTTAAAGGACAATAAGTTCAATGCATCTCACAACAAAATGTTCAAAACTGAAAACGTTAAAAATGGAAATTTACAAAGAATTTTATCTCTTGAACATGCACAGCAATGAAAGCTTTATTTTTCTTTTCTCAATGCCTCCCTTTAAGCTCCACCTTTTCAAAATTACTGACATACATTCTTGAATATATAAACTTGGATTCAAATATGTGATTCTTACTGTTGATAAGACTACCCTTCAGTCTTCAATTTCTTTTTTGTGCTGTGTTGTTATATACCAGACATGTCAAACTCGACGTATTGGAACTTTTTCCCCATTGCCGGCAATGGGGTGAGTGCGGTTTTGTCGTGATGTGTCTGGCCCGTGGGCCGGCAGTTTGACACCCCTGTTATATACCATTCTGTTCCAGAAGATCATCTCACTCAGCATTAAATGTATAAAAAAACATAAGGGATTGTGGAAGACAGGAAGGTTCCATTCTTGGAACACAACCCTATTCCTTTCATAGAAACTAAATAAATTAATTCATAGAAACTGAATTAGGACATTAACTGCTTTAAGAATATATGACAAAAACTGAAATGGAATTGTAATAAAATCATATTATTTTGGCTTTATTCTTCTTCTAATATTGTACATCCTCACAATTAGACATTAAGGAAAATATATACCTATCTATATTCTAATAAAGATAATTGGGTTATTTAGAAATGATATTCATGTGCTGGGAAAATAAAACTTAAATGTGCCTTAATTTCAAATGTTTCCTTTAATATGGAAACAAATGATAAAGTAAAATATATGGAAACTTCCTTCTCTATAGTCTGACATTGTCAAGTGAATCTAAGTTATTGCAAAATAATAACATATTCTTTTTGGAGAGCAATCACTCCAGTAATGGTAATGTTTCTTGGAACGGAAATGTTTAAAGCAGGGGTCCCCAACCTTCGGGCCATGGACCAGTACCGGGCTGTGGCATGCCAGCAACTGGTCTGCACAAAAAAGCAAAGTCTCATCCATGGAATGTAGGCAGCACACAAAACCATGCACTCTCTGGTCCACGGAAAAACCTCTCTCCATGGAATCGGTCCCTGATGCCCAAAAGGTTGGGGACCTCTGGTTTAAAGTGGTATGTGGGAATACATGGTTTAACAACTTCTGCTTAAAGATGTATGAACATTCACGTCCCCTACACTTTTTTGGGCCTCCCTAGTTTTGTAAATTGAATAGAAAGACCTGGTAGAAAACTGCAGAGTTGAAATAAGTTTTGAATCCTACACAATCTGAAAATTACAGCTATTGGGAAGATCTTAAATACATTCAGCTGAATGTGTGCAAACATACCCTCAGTTCTTCCTATTCAAGATATGGAAACCTAGATATGGAGCTAACGGGGCAACTATGCAAGGGAATGATTTCTGAAGGGAGCTTACACTATAAGAGTTATTAAACCTTTAAAAAAACTGCATATTCTATTAACATAAGTAGTACTTTACCGTCTACAGAACCAACAATTACAGCGCCATCTTCATATATAATGCAAATTTTCTGCCCATCAGCATTCCATCGCATGCTTCTAACCACAGATTTATTTCTATTGTTGATCATCTCCTCATACCAAGCAGCTAAAGCCAAAGGGGAAAAGAATTATCCATATCTACCGTACTCCTATTTTTCATCTGAACTATTCTTATTAAAAGTAATACAAAAGGAATTATTTGCAAACTCAATAACTTCTACTGAGCTGGATATGGTTATTGTGTAACTACCATGAAGTTGCTCTGAAGAGCATTCCAACACTGAAAGATGGAGATGGAGATGGCAAGGAAGGAGCTCTTAAAAACTGCTCTTCTATTCCCCTTCCTTAACAAAAGGAAGTTTTGACCTGTATGTAATAACATATTTTTGTTTATGGCTTTCAGATTTTCTTAAAAATCTCATACAGCTCTAGATTTCATCTGGTTTGCTCCTAATCCGCAGCCTCAGAGGCTGGGAAACTGAAAAATCTTCCCAAATATTCTAGTATCAGGATAACATGGGACCAAAGCAATATATTTAGTTGATGAGAGAATGTCAACATGATATTAATGTAAAAATAAATCTCTTAGAATAAATTGTCATATTAATATTTTTTTGGAATAAATAATTCTTTTTAGAATCTTTTAGCCTACAACTAAAGATCCAAAGGTATATTATATAAATCTCTAAGCCAACTAAAAATTGAAATGCCATAAATATGACAGCCATTCTCCAGCAAGTCACTTACCTTTATACAGCATCCACACTATAATAAGTCCATGCTCATCGCTACTAGTTAGCTTTTGATACTGTTCATTCCAAGTCACTACTTGCACAGCACCTATAAAATTGTATAATGATACTCTTGAGTTACACTAGTAACACCAAGATTATTTGGGAAAAACATAATGCACTTTCTATTAAAGATAAGCATCATATATAAAGACCCATTCAGACCCAGTTTGCAACTTAGGGATTCTTCTGGACTCGCAACTCCTGCTTGATGAACAGGTGGCGGTTATGGCTAGGAGAGCCTTTGCACAGCTTTGGTTTGTGCACCAGCCTCAGCCTTTCCCAGATCAGAACTCCCTGTGTTTGGTTACTCCAACACTAGTTCATCCCTTCTCTGTCTTACTGCAATGTGCTTTACATCGGGCCACCTTGTAATGCATTTAGAAGTTTCCGTTGGTACAAAGTGTGTCAGCACTAGCATTCTTTGAGGCCCCCAGAATGCCCACATTACACCATTGCTTCGTGAGCTGTACTGGCTGCCAGTTTGCTTCTGGGGGAAGTTCAAACTGTTAGTTATGACCTTGAAAGTCCTCCATGGAGCCAGATTACTCGATGAACTGTCTCATCCCGCTAAGACAAGCTTGCCCCATTTATACCAGCCAGAGAAAGCCTGCTGAGGATCTTGTTGGTCAAGGAACTCCAGCTAACAGGGTCCAGAAGAGCCTTGTCGGCTGTAATGCTGGCCCTCTGGAATGTCCTGCCTCCAGCATGAGGTCTGTCTCTATCATCCAGTCCTTCCACAAGGGCAAGACCTGGCCTGGGGACCCAATAGGGGATACCACACTCGAGGTACCTACTGGACTAATTAACTGACCCCTACTGGACTAATTAACTGCTCCGTGCTTCTTGCTCACTCTCTGCCCATCTTTTAATTCATAATATTATATTTTCATTGTTTATCTTTATTGTTTCACTGCTGTGCTATTTTTATGTTTACATTTTTAATCTTTTTTTCTTCTCATTTTACTATTGTAAGCCACCCATAGCCCTAGAGCAGGGGTAGGCAACCTCGGCTCTTTTATGACTCATGGACTTCAACTCCCAGAATTCCTGAGTCAGCATAGCTGGGAGTTGAAGTCCATGAGTCATAAAACAGCTGAGGTTGTCTACCCCTGCCCTGAGCAAGATGGGCGGCAAATAAATTTAACAAAGAAACAAACAATTTTACATTCCTCATAATAAGATTGTGAACTGGCTCGTACATATGCAAACATATCTATGTGTATGTTTATAAAAAATATCTGAATAATTTTATAGAATCAGATTTTGGAGACTAGAAATTTCCTTCCATTAACAAAAATCTCCACTGCCTTAAAGAATTTTACACAAATGTCCCTAACTTGCTCCTAAAATCAGTTGAGCTACTTGTCTCAGGTTGAACATGTTGTCTATATAATAAGGCTGAATCAAAACAAGAATTGTTGATCAGGAATCTGATGAATTTGATGATTGCTCATATATTAAGATGGCATGGTTAAAGTTCAGGCCCTAGGACAGTGATGGCGAACCTTTTAGAGACCGAGTGCCCAAACTGCAACCCAAAACCCACTTATGCATCGTCAGGTGCCGGGTAGGTGTGGCCATTGGGTGGGTGTGGCCCATTGGGTGAGCGTGGCTGTGGTAGTAACAGCAGACTGGGTGGGACTAAAAAGTTCAATCAATCAATTCCAAATTTGCAAGATCTTTTTTTTTCCCACGAGAAGTTGAAATTGACTGATTGATTGAACCTTTTTTTTTGCACACGGCAGCAGAGGCCTAAAATGAAAAGGTTTTATAAAACCCAGCTGAAGGCCTAGGATTGGGGCGACGGCATGTGTGCCCACAGAGAGGGCTCTGAGTGCCGCCTCTGGCACCCGTGCCATAGGTTCGCCACCACTGCCCTGGGAGGTCTTTTGAGATTTATGGAAAGCGCATAAGGAAACCACTAGCCTGCAGTTTCGGCATGTGATCAAAACCACAGAAGGTGAGCTTGACTATTTTTTATAATTTCTATATTTCTTTACCTTATCTGCTATGTGCCAGCTTCCTCTTATGTAACCACACGAAAGCAGAGAGATGCATAAATATCTGCCTCACATTGTGTTCAGGGTTCCTCCACCTTTAGGGAGGACCTGTCTTTATTCAGCTGAATAAATGTGTTTGGCTTATCAAGACAAATCCAGACTCATTCATTTATTTTACTGAGTCACAGCTGACAACCTGCATAACAGAATTAGATGTTCCAATTTTTTTATACCTTTTTCTAATTTCCAGTGCAATCTTAGAACCAGGCTTATCACTTTTTCTTTACTGCCTAACACTGAGGAGTTCCTTTTGTTGTTTTAACCCCTGAGAAGTTTAATTTCATTCTAACATCTATGTGGAGAGTCAGTTTGGTCTAGTGGTTAAAGCACCAGGCTAAGAAGCAGGAGACTGAGCTCAAGTGCTGTTATAGCCATGAGTGACAGCTGGGTGACTTTGGGCCAGTCATTCACTTCGGCCCAACCCATTTGGTTGTGGGGAAAACAGGAGGAGGAAGGTATGTGGGATATGTTCGCTGCCTTGAGGTATTTGTAAAAATAATAAAGGCAGAATAAAAAGTAAATAAATAAAAACAATAGTCTTCCTTTACAGAATCATTACACAATTACTTCCATCCACCCACTTGCCCTGTTATGTACTTCGCTGGTTCTTTTGTTGCCCATGATATTGTTCCAAGAGTAATCTGAATATCTGGCTCAGAGCTTTTTCCATTCACAGAAATTACAGTAACGTCTCTGCATCAGTTATTTAAAGTCTCCACCATGAAGGCCGTTTACAGGATAGTGTAAATTACAAACCAGGAAACCAGTTAACTTTTAGGATATTATAGAACAATTATGTTTTAATAACCTATCTTCCATGATAACATCAAGCTTCAATAATATACACCATTTTATACTCTCTGAAGATTTTTCTGCTGGTAAGAACCTTGAAGGCACAAAAATTTCATAATTTGTACACATGCCCCCAAATGATACGTTTTTCTCTGCTTCAGCAATCTCAGAGTAACTGCAAGTATCTGCTGCTCCCCAACTGGCTTGCTAAATTTCAACCATTTATGTGTTTTGTTGTTTAAGGAAAGCATCGTGACTTTTGAAAGAACTACCTTCTTACATCTTTTGAAATGGCCCCTTTCAAAATCTTGTGCTTACCGTTGTTAACAGGGTAACCTCTGATACTATTTTTTCACTTGCAGAGAGTTGTACTGTCTGGGTACAGCGGGGCTTCCGACATTGTTGAACCTTCTAACACCAGATTCTACAGAAGGCTATTTCTACAATCAATATCTCAGCAAGCGTTAGTGGGGCTTTGGAAAGGCAAGATTTCCTTGTATTGTTCTAGTCTTTTTAGGAGAACTTGAAAGCAATTGTATCAAATGTTCCCAAAAAAAAATCAATTTCTTACTGCTAGCATTTTTGGCATTTTGTTCTGATTATTCTTGCATACTGTGCAAATATATTCTGAACCATGCAGAGGCTATTTTGAAGTTGCAAGGAGAAAATTTTCAGTGTACAATGAGAGCTGAGGTACAAGCATATTTCTACTTTATTTGCAACAATTATTGCATATCCTCATATACGAATAGCACTGAAACAGCACTGAAAGCAGTTTGTTTCCTTGTATATAGACAAAAAAAGATGCTTCTGTAATATTAATATTTCATTTCTAAACATGCCAATTCAAAATTTTATCCCAAGAAATTCATTGGAATTTATCTAGCAAAAATTGAAAGTTCATTACTGAAACCATACCATTTTCTGAATATATTAGTCAAAAAGCAATTTTATTTGACTGAACAATAGTAACTCTTACCAGTGTGACCTTCAAGTGTCTGATTCATTGAGAGATTGCTAGGTGCAGCAAGCCCCTTTAATTTGGCTTCTTCTAAAAACAAACAAAAAAAGCATTTTTGTAAGACATGAATCCTAAATAAAGTAACATTTATAATATTTACTAGCTTACTTTTTCGCTAAATGGTTGCCCCCTTTCAACTAATCATAATATTTAACTAGACATGTTCTGTAGAAACTGATGAGGAACAAGCAGGAATTCCAAAGGAACTGAACTTGTTTCTTTTGCTCATTAAAAAGAAGTTGGAATCCCAAATTCAGCTTCTCTTTTTATTTTTTAAACAGTATTTTGATTATCTAACTGTAGGAGGAACAGTGTTAGAACTTGGGAATGGAGCAATCAGCCTAGAATCACTATATAGCCATAGCAGATGGCATGACAAAGTCCCAAATAGCACAGTCCTGGAATGTGCTGGAATCTCTAGCATGTATACACTACTGAAACAGCGACGTCTATGCAGGCTTGGGCATGTCGTGAGAATGGCTGATGGCTGGATTCTAAAAGATCTCCTGTATGGAGAACTAATGCAGGGAAAGCGCCCCAGAGGGAGACCTGAGCTGAATATAAGGATATCTGCAAGAGGGATCTGAAGGCCTTGGAAATGGACATTAACAGCTGGGAATCCTTGACTCCTGATCGTTCAGCCTGAAGGCTAAAGACGCAGCATAGCCTTCTCCAATTTGAAGAGACACTTGTGGGACAGGCTGAGGCAAAGAGACAGTCCTGGAACCAGCGAAACCTGGGGGCTGGACAGGGGACAGATTGTATCTGCCCTCAGTGTGGAAGGGACTGCCATTCTTGAATTTGCCTTTTTAGTCACACCAGATGCTGCCTTAAAATCTCTTTCCAGAGCACGATACCATAGTCTCTCGAGACTGAAGGATGCCAATGGAATGCATAGTGGATTAAGATCAACCTGCCTTAAATTCCATGGACCTCTATCTAACTGCAAACAGATGCTAACCTTTTTAGCAATAAATCAATTTAATTAGACCAGGGGTGTCAAATTGCCGGCCAGTGGGCTGGATGTGTCACGAGGAAACTGCGCCAACCCCATTGCTGGCAATGAGGAAAAAGTTCTAATACATCGCACGATGTCACGTGACATCGCAAGTTTGACATGTCTGAATTAGACCTTTATGTCTGGACCTGGTACAGACCTAACATAGTAATAGGCAACTTCTTTGTGGCTAGGTTTAATTTCATTTATGTATTTATTTTCATCAACTGATGGCGAGCCATCAAGATATTGTGACTTCACATAAATGGGAGGGAAAACAATTCCCTGCTTTTAAATTCTTTGAACATTTTAAAGAAAAATATATATTTCACATTAGTACTTATAAACTACAAAAGAATACATGAAAAAGAATAAAAGAATGTAACACAAATTAATAAACCACAAATTTTAAAATTTTGTGAAAGCTATGGTTTTCTAATAATTAATTGTAAATCACTAGTAAGCTAAATCACTAGTGAGCTAAAAGTGAATATCAAGAATCAGTATCAGTACAATATGAATCACCGAATGGAATGGTCAATTATAAGTTCATTCCATATTACTAAAATATTTCCATAATTATACCTGAAATCCTGCCCAGCATCAAAAGTTTAAAAAAAATGTTCACAACATTTAGTCCTATCAAAATATATATTGCCTGGTTATCAACTATATTAAGATCTTATTAGACTGTGAATGAAAGGACCTCAATGACTCTGTGACCTAGAAAAGACATCCTTCATTCATACCTTTGATACTGAGTACTTTATATTCAGGCCTTTCACCATTGAGCCAATTTTGCATACACGTAGTCCCCAATTAACAACAGCAATAAGGACTGGAATTTCTGCCACTAAGTGATATGGTCATAAAGGGTGATGCCGCTTCGCCCCATTGCTTGGCGCCTATCCCTGCAGTTCCCACTGCCATCATTAAGTGAGGGTTGTAGGTCGATAAGCACCTTCCTGCCAGCTTCCAATGACCAAAATCTGTGGGGAAACCAGCAGGAAGCTGCAAGTCCGAAGGGATTTACAAGCACTCAGGTACAGTAAGTAGCTACTGCTGGGTGAAGGATGGTATGCAAGGTGAGCAGGTGGTTGGCTAGACACAGTAGAGTCGGCGGTGCCTACTGTCGGGTGAGTGAGGTTGTGTGAGGGTGCAATGAGCCCCAGAGCTGTGGGGTCCCATCTCCCCATGCATGGCCAGGGATGGTAAGCCCAGCAGAGGGAGACAAATGAAGATGATCATCTGCTGGGGGAGGTGGCAGAAGTGGCAGGATGTATGTGTGATCATAAATGCGGTTTGGCTCAATTTTTGTATTATGTGACCGCAGGAGCACTGTGATGGTCATAATGATCGGGTCACAATTCCCTTTTTAAGCACAGTCGTAAGTTTGAATAGTTGCAGAACAGGCATTAAGTGGGGACTACTTGTACTCTATATGAATAGGAAAATGGTAAAATACCCAATTCTCTTATGTAAATATACAGGGAATTTTAATAAAATTTGTCTCAAATGCCCTCAGTTAGGATTGTTGAGGTTTGTTTTTAATATTTGGAACATTAGACCAGTGATTCTCAACCTTTTTAATGCCACGACCCGCAACTGGTCGTAAGTTGAGGACTACTCAACCGGTCGTAAGTCATGGACTACTCAACTGGTGCAGCACCGTTTGCAGAATGGGACTTTTGGCGGGCTCAGCAGGGCAGAGACAGCCTGGACAATTCCTATTGGCTTTTGAAAGCCAATAGAATTAGACTCTATTCAAGAGAGTCTATTCTATTGGCTTTCAAAAGCCAATAGAATAAAAGGGAGTAGCACAGCTAAGGAAAAGGGGGAAAAAATGGCGGACTGGGTTGTTTGGCGACCCCCTTGAAATGGTCGTTCGACCCCAAATGGGGTCCCGACCCACAGGTTGAGAACCACTGCATTAGACTATATAATACAGTGAAAAAGAAAAAAAATCATTATATGCCCTAGGTTAGCAACAAATTTATATTGATACAAATGTCATTTACCTGTTTTTATTTCTAACTTTAAAACTTTCAGTAGACCATCTTCACCTCCACAGGCTATATAGCCTTGATCTTTGCTCCAACAAATAGATCTAAGTCTAACATTACCAGGGATTGTAATCTGAAATAAATACATTTTTTAAAAAAATATGAAAACAATAACAACACTGAAACTGAACAGAAATTAATTTAACTGAAACCAAATCTAGCTTATTTTTTTATGTACAAAATGTTTTACAGAATATATACAAAGAACACGCCTGCAACAATTAGTAACTATTTCTAAAAGTAAAAGTAGAAAGTAATATCTGACACAATACATAATTTTACTTCAAGATCAACAAAGTTTTTTGATTGGCAAGAAAGTACGGTATGGCAGTTCTGAAAATGTCTGCAAAATCAAATAAACATTTTAACATTTTTCAGTTTTAATTTCTAATACAGAATAATATTGATAGATATAAATCAAAACTTTTTGTGTATACAATCATTTTTAATAATGAGACCAAATTGTTTGAGAATTGCTGCTATATGGAATCACTTATTCCATATATATATATATATATATATATATATATATATATATATATATGTAATTTTATTAATATTATATTATTAGATTTTTATTATTCTACCATATAGTCTTTGGCAGGTTTCCAAATGGCTGGTAGGCGGGAGGTATCATCTTGTTTGTTCATGCTGTGTGGGCGTTTTTCTATCTCAACGGCTTCTCTGATTATTCTGTTATTAAAGTGTTCAGTTTTGGCAATAGTTCTGGTCTTTTTAAAGTCAATTTCATGTCCTGTGATTTTAAGGTGTTGGACCAAGGAAGAAGTTGGTTCCTCTTTTTTGACTGAGTTCTTATGTTCTTCAATGCATGCACTTATTCTTCTGTTGGTTTGTCCGATGTATGTGGTGGGATAAGCGGTGCATGGGATTTCGTATATTCCTTGATTTTCTAATTCAATTTTGTCTTTGGGGTTTCTTAGGATGGTGGATATTTTTCTGTTTGTGCAGAATGCTGTCTTAATGTTGTGTTTGTGGAGGATCTTACTGATTCTGTCTGTGGTGCCTTTTATGTAAGGGAGGAGGGCTTTGCCGTTTTCTTGTTCTCTGTCTTGGATTTTAGTGGGGGTTTCTTTTTGGATTAGTTTGGTAATCTTATTTCTTTGGAATCCATTGGATGTAAGTACATTAGTGAGAGTGTGTAGTTCGGTTTTTAGGTGTTGTTCATCAGCTAAGCGTTTTGTTCTACAGATGAGTGTCTTGGCTACGGAGTTGATCTGTGCTGGGTGGTGGTGTGAGAGAGTGTGCAGATAGCGATTTGTGTGTGTTTTCTTCTGGTAGATGGTGTGTCCTAGAGAGCCATTGGATTTCTTGTAGACTAAGACATCCAGGAAGGGAAATTGGTTATTAGCTTCTGTTTCCATGGTGAACTGTATTTTGGGGTGTAGGCTGTTGAGGTGTGTGAGGAAGTTGTCCTGTTTTTCTTTCCCATGTGGCCAGATTATGAAGGTGTCGTCTACATATCTGAGCCAGAGTTTGGGTTTGTGATCCGATTTTTCTAGAGCTTGAGTTTCAAAGTGTTCCATGTAGAGGTTTGCAATGACAGGTGAGAGGGGTAATCCCATGGGTGCTCCTTCTATTTGTTTGTATTTTTGTCCGTTATAGATGAAGTATGTGTTGGATAGGCAGTGGTTGGTCAGATCTAGGATGTGTTTGGGGGGTTATATTTGTTTTGGATAGCTATCAAGGCTTCTTTGATTGGCACTTGGGTGAAGAAGGATATGACATCGAAGCTCATGAGTAGGTTGCTGGGCTGTAAGTTTTGTTTCTTTATGATCTCTAAGAAATGGAATGATTTTTTTACGTGTGAGGTGATGGATTCTGCATAGGGCTGTAGTTGTTTGGCGAGAAATTTGGCTAGGTTTTGTAGAGGTGAGCCTATGGAGCTGACTATGGGTCTAAGTGGGGTTCCTTCTTTGTGTATCTTGGGGAGTCCATATAGCTTAGGGCATCTGGATGATTTCTCTCTGGGAATGATTCTTTGCTGGATCTCTTCGCTAAGGGGGAGGCTTTTATTTTGGATCTGGTGGTTTTTTCCAGGTAGGTGGTGGGATCTGAATTCATAATGCTTTGAAACTAGCAGTCATGTCATAAATTGACATCAACAAACATTAAAAATCTGAAGGAAAAATTGTAGAATTTTCTCCCTGCAAGAATCATGAAATTGAAATATGGGAGAATATTAGATATGATACACATACATATCTATTCTCTCCATATGCATACATATGTGCCAAGATTGGTTACATTACACATCATTGTGAAGATCATTGTGGGGATGGAGAAATCGCAATGAACTCTTTGAGAAAAATGTAGGACAAAAACATAGATTATTCATACATGTAAAAAAAAGTTGAATTCATTCATATCTATAAGTACTGTGATGGTTTCACTTATTGCCAAGGATATGGATCCAATACGCAGTTACAAAATTATGACTATACAGGTAGTCCTTGACTTACGACCACAATTGAGTCCTAAATTTATGTTGCTAAGTGAGGTTTTTTTAAGTGGGTTTTGCCCCATTTTATGACCTTTTTTGCCACAGATGTTAGGTGAACCACTGCAGTTGTTCAGTTAGTAGCATGGTTATTAAGTAAACATGCCTCCCCCAATTGAGTTTGCTTGTCAGAAGGTTGCAAAAACTGATCACATGATCCTGGGACACTGTAACCATCATAAATATGAACCATCTGAATTTTGCTCATATGACCGTAGAACAGAATAGCATAGCATAGAATAAAAACTTTATTGCCGCTTTAAATGTATACTACTCAGCATACATTAAAATGAAATTTCATTGCATTCAGCTCTCAAAAAATACCATTATGCATATACCCGCCTAAACACACATGTATGACACAGAGAAACATACACAGAGAGGGAGAAAAAATCCTGAGAATTTACAAGAGGGATGGCATAAGGAACAAAGCTATTACAGAATCTAGTAGTTCTGCTATAAATACTTCGAAACCTCCTCCCAGAGGGGAGCAACAGAAACAGACCATGAAGTGGGTGTGTGAGGGCTCTAACAATGCTTTGAGTTTAAAAGCACATAGCACTTTTAAGCAGGGTCCTGAAGAACAGGAAGCGAACTTCCTATAATCTTCTCGGCTGTCCTTACCACTCTCTGTATGGATCGTCTATCTGAGGCACTGCTACCACCAAATCAGTGGTGCAGTTTGTTAAGATTCTCTCAATCATGCCTCTGTAAAAAGTGGCCAGGATAGAAGGAGAAAGATGTGCTCTCTTCATCCGATGCAGGAAATGCAAAGCTGGTTTGTATGCTTCACTATGGAGACGCTGTAATGGTTGTTAAGTGTGAAAAATGGTCATAAGTCACTTTTCGCAGTGCCATTGTAACTTTGAACAGTCACTAAATAAAGGGTTGTAGGTCGAGGACTACCTGTATACAGTATAAATATTTCTATATAAAGAGGCAGGGTTAACCACTGGAAGCACAAATTGTTGCAACTTCCTTCCCCCCCCCCCTTTTAATCTGCACTGAGATTAATACATACACTTAATACATTTCAGGCGATTTAGAAATTAAATACGAGCTACAACCAAGTCAAAAATCGTTAAGCTACATGCGGCGAGTTATTTAAGTAAGACATTCTGACCGCATCAAATTGGCCGCTACGGATTTAGACGACTAAACTTTTCCTGCAAAAATGGGGGGGGGGGTTGGGGAAGGACGAAGGAAGCAAACAAAAAACAAAAAAACACCACCGATCCCACCTTCTTGCTCAAGTAGACAAACATCCTGTCCGTTTTTATCGCTCCTTGTCTCTGCGCCGCCTGGTCCTCCGCGCCAGCAGGATAGGCGCTTCAATTCGCCCGAGCCGCTGTCTCCATGACAACAAAGAGCGCCGAAGTGCGGCCGCCGTGGCAACCGACCCTAAACCGGAAACATAATATAAAGGCGTATCACAACGCTTCCGGGTTAAGGGAAATGGAAGGATTCGCCCGTTTGAATTGTTATGTATTAAGCGGCCTTCTATCTATCGTAGAGTAAGAGTCTCCACCTTGACAACTTTAAGACTTATGGACTTCGGCATGGCTGAGGAATTCTGGGAGTTGAAGTCTTAAAGTTGCCAGGATTGAAGACCGCTGTTCTAGAGCGCTGTTCGGGTGGATTCTCTGCTTGGGAGAACGGACAGAGTGGAGTATTCGGTGTCTTTTTCCTTTATGGGTTTCCTTGGAAGTTCCTGCTTCTGAACTATAACAAAAAAGAGAAGCGCCGAAATAGAAAGATTGGATCCTTGGAAAAATCTTGTTTCCTGCAATTTGGGCAGGATTAATAAATATTACATTTATATGTCGCCGGGACTCCTTGCGACTCTGTTTGGTTTTGCAACGGTAGCCACTCTCAGTCTAATTGTTGTTTTTGGACTCTTTTTTTTTTTTATCCTGTTCAAGCTCTGAGTAAAAACCGGTGAGACAGAAATTCAATAGGAGCGAATACATTTTGTCCCTAACACGCTTTTCTTTTACCTTCATTCCAAATTTGAAGGAAGAGAGGTTTGATTAGGGAAAGTGTGTGTGTGGGCTAATATTAATTAGCCCATATTCATCATTGCCCCAACTGTTCTGAAGTTTCCCTACCCTCCGGTTTGTTTTTCCTTAGTTCCCAGCTGATCTTGTAAAGGTTAAACCTGGTTCCTAAGTAAATGGGAGACCCAGAGAGAACACCAAAGTTAGAGTAAGTATTGAAAAAGCAGAGGCAACCAATATTGATCAGATTTCCAGGAACTGGGAAAAAAGAATAAACAAGTTGTGATCGCTGGAATGTGCTTTTCCTCTGCACAGTTATGGCAGGATCTCAAAAGTCATGCTTTGTTTTCTTCATCTCTCTTGGTTAAGTATTGGATCTTGCTTGTTTGATCACTATCTCCATAGTAATGGAACTGCTGGTCTTTAGGAATATTATAAAAATGGGGTTTTCCCAGCAGTTTTCTCATTTGAAAGATTTGCCACGCTATACCTTTTTTTCTCTAATAAATTTTACTAATGAATTCAAAGAGACTTGTATGTCGATCGTTTTCAGTACTGATTATTAGGGAAACCTGACAATGTCAAAGACTAAGGAAGAGAGCAAGAAAAGCCTTTAGAAAAAAGGAGGGGGGGGAGGTCTCCGGATCAAATTAAAGCTGGTTGTTATTCAGTTAAGCAGGAGTTTTAATTTTTTTGAGTGGGGGATACAATTTTGCATCCAATCATCCCTGGTTTTATTTAGCTATAAAAGCCAAAGGATAAATGTATTTCAGATTTTGAAAAATCTAGAATTCTGAATCCTTTTGCTTCTCGCTCACTTTTATTTCTTCCAGCTCAATGGAATATTATAAAGAAATATACAAAGGTGCTTTTATAAAGAATTGTTTCACTTGAAGCTCATTTGAATCCTTCACATCTCAAAGGTGAATTGAATTGAATCTTGGCTAGTTCTCACATTTATTGAAACGTGACTTGGTTTATTTTAGGTCTAGATGATAAATAATTTGAAACCTAACTAAAGTCCTGTTATTTTATAAACAACAGTTTTAATAATAAATAATAAGCCAGTGATGTCAATGTGACTTAAAATGTGTAATATAGAAGCATCAATCATTTTGCTCCCCTATTTATAATAGATCATTTAATTTTTGAATGCTTGTAATTATCAAATATGCAGAAAATTGAGTTTATTGCCCTACTAGGAAATCTAGGTTTATCTAGGACCTTAACCCAGTTGTATGCTTGGCATCATTTTATTTTTACCTTGTTCTCAGCCCATGAGTGAGATAGCCCTACGTTTGTTGTGGCTGTAATCTCCTTTATTCTGACACTGTCCAAGATCAGTCATTATGTAAAAAAATGATAATTATCATTATCTTGGAAGATTGTGATTGCAGTAACTCGGAACAGGTGTGAGGTAGAATATGGATTGACAATAGAGAGCAAATTGCCTCCATAATTTTCTACTGACTTAAGGATAAATGGATAGCACTATAATTAGGACATCCAGCCAGTTTGGTGTAGTGCTTAATGCATCAGGCTAGAAACTGGAAACTATGAGCCCTAGTTGTGCCTTAGGCACATGCTAGCTGGTTGACCTTGGGCAGTCATTTTCTCAGCCAATGTCAATCCACTTATTAAAAACCTTGCCAATAAAAGTTCAAGGACATGTCTAGACAGTCACCTAGATTTAGAGTTAATTGAAGGGGGGGGAGGACAAAAGCAAATCCTATAGAGGTCCATTTATTTTAAGGCAATGTTGAAATCAGTTGCCTTACTTGTGTTCTTCAGCTAATACAATAAAAATGTTTAAGAGCTATTAATTATATTTTTCCAATTGCTACTTATGACTGTGAAACTTGGACTCTGAAAAAGGCAGAGAGGAGAAGGGTGGATGTCTTTGAACTGTGGTGCTGGAGGTGATTATTATGCATGGACTGCAAAAATAACAAAGTCTGTTAGAGAATTTTAATTTCTCTATTGGTGAAAAATAAATCAGAAGCTCTCACAGTTGACTGCATTTAGCTGATTCAAATAACTTTATATTTATATAAAAATATTTACAATACCATTCTTCTTTACAGCAACATAGCTTAATGAAGACTTCTTACATAGACCAGAGACAAAACCTTGAGACTGGAAATCCAGCTCCTAATAGTAATAGTAATAGTAGTAAAGTTGGAAGGGACCTTGGAGGTCATCTAGTCCAACCCCCTGCTCGGGCAGGAAACCCTACACCATTTCGGACAAATGGCTGTCCAGTCTCTTCTTAAAAACTTCCAGTGTTGGAGCATTTACTGCTTCTGGAGGCAGGCTGTTCCACTGATTATTTGTTCTCACTGTCAGGAAGTTTCTCCTTAGTTCTAGGTTGCTTCTCTCCTTGATGAGTTTCCACCCGTTGCTTCTTGTCCTGCCTTCAGGTGCTTTGGAAAATAGCTTAATTCCCTCTTCTTTATGGCAGCCCCTGAGATATTGGAATACTGCTATCATGTCCCCCCTTGTCCTTCTCTTCGTTAAACTAGACATACCCAATTCTAGCAACCGTTCCTTATATGTTTTAGCCTCCAGTCCCCTAATCATCTTTGTTGCTCTTCTCTGTACTCTTTCTAGAGTCTCAACATCTTTTTTACATCGTGGTGACCAAAACTGGATGCAGTATTCCAAGTGTGGCCTTACCAAGGCATTGAAGAGTGGTATTAATACTTCACGTGATCTTGATTCTATCCCTCTGTTAATGCAGCCTAGCACTGTGTTGGCCTTTTTGGCAGCTGCAGCACACTGCTGGCTCATATTTAAGTGATTGTCTACTAGGACTCCGAGGTCCCTCTCACAGTTACTACTATTGAGCATGGTGCCACCTATGCTGTACTTGTGCATTTGGTTTTTCTTGCCTAAATGTAGAACCTTGCTTTTTTCACCATTGAATTTCATTTTGTTAGTTAGTGCCCAGTGTTCAAGTCTGTCCAGATCCTTATGTATCTGAAGCCTGTCTTCTGGAGTGTTGGCTATTCCTGCCAGCTTGGTGTCGTCTGCAAATTTGATGAGTTCCCCATCTATCCCTTCATCCAAATCGTTGATGAAGATGTTGAAGAGTACTGGGCCCAGAACAGAGCCCTGGGGCACCCCACTACACACTTCCCTCCATATAGATGCAGTTCCATTGAGGACCACTCGCTGAGTACGGCCGGTCAGCCAGCTACGGATCCATCTGGTGGTGGTTCTGTCTACCCCACATTTTTCTATCTTGTCAAGTAGTAGGTTGTGATCTACTTTATCAAATGCCTTACTGAAGTCCAAGTAAATTATGTCCACAGCATTCCTCTGATCCACTAATTTTGTCACTTGGTCAAAGAATGCAATAAGATTTGTCTGGCATGATCTATTTTTGACAAACCCATGTTGGCTTTTAGTAATGACTTTGTTTGCCTCTAGGTGTTCGTTGATTCGTTGTTTGATTATCTTTTCCAGGATCTTCCCAGGTATTGAGGTCAGGCTGATAGGTCTGTAATTTCCTGGATCCATTTTTTTTCCTTTTTTGAGGATGGGAACTACATCAGCTCTTTTCCAGTCCTCTGGTAGTTCCCCTGTAGCACTTTCCTCACATTGGCTGACTGAGTTACCACATGACTCTTCCTGCTCATGAATATTCCAACAAAGTCCTAGAGACCAAACCTCACCAAAGATATCACTTGAAGCCAAGATCATCAAACAGAGGCTGCCATGCTTTGGTCATGTCACGCAAGCTGATTCACTGGAAAAGTCAGTCATGCTGGGAGTGATCAGCAAAAAAATGGAGAAGGAGCTGCCCTAGCACTTGCTGGTTGGATACTATAAAGGATGCCTCCAAGCTGACCATGACAGATGTGAAGGAAGCAGTGTGAGACAGAGGGGCATGGAGAGTACTGATTCACAGGGTGGCTGAGGTTTGGACATGACTAAATGACTGACAACAACAAAAACACTGTACTGGGACTTAATGAGCTCACCCAATATCTTGAATGAACCTCTCTCTGCCCTAGGTCTGCAGTAGGATTCAGTTAGTCAGTACCTTGTAACAGTTCTTTCAGGTTTTCCATATTAGCAGTCCTATCCTCCAATATTTACCAAATTTGGCCCAAAGATATTTGTGGTACCAGATTAATCCTAAAATACCATAATTTTTAATGGATATCTTTACCAAGTCTGCCGTGCCAACAATAATAATAATTCCATAATCCATTATAATAATAATTATAAATTCCATCAGATTGGTTCCTAAGACATTTTAAGAATGTGTCCTATGATTTATACACATCATATGAATATATAAATACGTAGAATCTAAATATCACTCTTTACAAATGTTTAATGAAATTGTATCATCCTTATCTGACAGTAAATACTGAAAATAGAATTAATTTGAATGCCCTGGAAATTTAACTATTAATAAGGATATATTTCATGTACAGATTTTATTAAAGAAATACAGTGTGGGGAAAAGTGTTGATTTCTCCAACTGATTAAATGGATTTTTCTTATAACTACTTAGCTGAATTTTTGCAGTGCCATGTCAGGGTGCTTTGGAGTCACAGGTTGTGGGGCAGAGGTTGTTTCTCCTTAAATTAGACTAAAACGTGGGTGGGTAATTTATGGCTGTGCTTTGTATGCTTTATTTGCTTTAGCAAAGGTTAATTTAGCTTAATGAACATGGACCCAACAAAATCCAACAAAATTAGAGGTAACTGTGCATGTATGTACTTATGGTTCCATTGATCTAGATCAGTTTTAAGAGCCACCTCATCTTCCAATATTTAAATGAAGATGATGCATATTGTGTTCTTTGCAAGAAC